GACTTTCGTGGACTGCCTGGCCTTTCTTCGACTTGCGTAGCCTTGCATGGCCTTCATTGGCAATGCCTGGGCTTGCCTCTCCTTGCCTGGCCTTGTGTGGACTTGCGTGAATTACCTGGCCTTGTGTGGACTTGCATGAATTGCCTCGCCTTGCCTGGCCTTGATGGCCATGCTTGGCCGTAACTGGCCTTGCCTGTCCTTGATTGTCATGCCTGGTCTTACCTCGGCTTGCCTCGACTTCGCTGGCCTTGCATCGCTTTCCTTGGCTTGTCTGTCCTTGCCTCGACTTGCCTGGTGATGCTGTCACCGATTCCTGCAGAGACCTGCTGTGGTAGAGACGAGATCTAGCAGGAAGTTGTTCTAGTGAGGTTCGGGTGAGGCGAATTTTTAAAAATTTTGAAAATTTTCAAAAAAACCAAAAATGCTGGAAAATGTGTAGAACGCGCACAAAACCAAATATTTTCGAAAAATGTTCATAAAAATTTTATGTGAGAATTTTTCAATTTTTTTTAGTTTAGTGCGCCATTTGGAAGTTTTCCAGCATTTTGTGATTTTTTGAAAATTTTGAAAAAGTTTGAAGTTTGCTTCAAAATTCTCCCCACCCGATACCTGCCAGACACGTTTTCTGGCGTGGCCTGTCTCTGACGTACAATCTCACTCACGGACAGTGACTCTCTAGACCATCTGGTCTCTCTTTGACCGTGTTTCTTACGCACCGTCGTTGCAAAGAACGCATCCGGCGGAGACCGGATGAGGCATAGCCGTCCGACACAGAGTGTGTGAGACAGAGAACGCGTCAGACAGATACGAGGAAGAGACTAAGGCAGAGGGCTGGTGATGCTGTCACCGAGTCCTGCAGAGACGAGATCTAGCAGGAAGTTGTTCTAGTGTGGTTCGGGTGAGGCGAATTTTAAAAAAAATTTCGAAAAAACCAAAAATGCAGGAAAATGTGTAAAACGCGCGTTAAACCAAAACTTTCGAAAATTTTAAAAAAATGTAAGATTTTTTCAAATTTTCTTAGTTTTGTGCGCCATTTGGAAGATATCCAGCATTTTATGATTTTTTGAAAATTTGCTTCATATTTTTCCCCACCCGATACCTGCCAGACACGTTTTCTGGCGTGGCCTGTCTCTGACGTACCATCTCACTGACGGACAGGGACTCTGCTGTGCACAGTCTCTAGATCATCCGGTCTCTCTTTGACCGTGTTTCTTACGTCGTTGCAAGGAACGCTTCCGGCGGAGATCGGATGAGGCATAGACGTCCGACAGAGACAATGTGAGGCAGAGAACGCGTCCGGCAGATACCTTGTGAGGAAGAGACTAAGGCAGAGGGCTGGTGATGCTGTCACCGATTCCTGCAGAGACCTGCTGTGGTAGAGACGAGATCTAGCAGGAAGTTGTTCTAGTGCACAGCAGAGTCCCTGTCCGTCAGTGAGATGGTACGTCAGAGACAGGCAACGCCAGAAAACGTGTCTGGCAGGTATCGGGTGGGGAGAATTTTGATGCAAATTTTCAAAAAATCGAAAAATACTGGAAAAGTTCCAAATGGCGCACAAAACTAAGAAAAAATTAAAAAATTTCACATAAATTTTTTTTGAATCTTTTTCGAAAATTTTTGGTTTTATGCGCGTTTTAGACATTTTCCAGCATTTTCCTGCTAGAACTCGTCTCTACAGGAATCGGCAACAGCATCACCAGCCCTCTGCCTTAGTCTCTTCCTCACATGGTATCTGCCGGACGCGTTCTCTGCCTCACATTGTCTCTGTCGGACGTCTATGCCTCATCCGATCTCCGCCGGAAGCGTTCCTTGCAACGACGGTGCGTAAGAAACACGGTCAAAGAGAGACCGGATGATCTAGAGACTGTGCACAGCAGAGTCCCTGTCCGTCAGTGAGATGGTACGTCAGAGACAGGCCACGCCAGAAAACGTGTCTGGCAGGTATCGGTTGTGGAGAATTTTGACGCAAATTTTCAAAATTTTCAAAAAATCGAAAAATGCTGGAAGTCTTCCAAATGGCGCATAAAACTTAAAAAAATTGAACAATTTTCACATAAAATTTTGTTTGAAAATTTTTCGAAAATTTTCGGATTTGTGCGCGTTTTAGGCATATTCCAGCATTTTTTCTTTTTTCGAAAAATTTCAAAATTCGCCTCAATGAACTTCACTGGAACAACTTAATACTAGAATTCGTCTGTACCACAGCAATTCTCTGCAGGACTCGGTGACAGCATCACCAGCCCTCTGCCTTAGTCTCTTCCTCACCCGGTCTCCGCCAGGAAAGCGTTCCTTGCAACGACGGCGCGTAAGAAACACGGTCAAAGAGACCGGATGGTCTAGAGCGGTGGTCCCTAACGCGGTGCCCGCGGGCGCTATGGCGCACGCCAAGGCCTTTTTTGGGTGCCCGTGTTGATACCGAAAGAGGTTATACTGAATAATGAAGGCCGTTCAACCATGAACATCATAAAATCAAACCACAGACATCTACTTACTAATGCCCATCTTGGCGATTGTTTGCGAGCAGCAACATCATCCCACACTCCCAAATTTGAAAAACTGACAGATTAAATGCTGTGTCAAACGTCACACTAACTTCCCACTTGAGTAATAATAATTGTACTTATAAAAGTACGTATTTTTGATTGCATGGTTTCTTGTATCATTAAACGTCGTGTTGTTTTGTGTATTATTTGGTGTCCATATCTTATTTGTCCAGAGAAAGGAAAATTTGGCTTTGTTAATTGGTTGGTGCCCGCCACGATCTCATAAACTCTCAAATGTGCCCGTAGGCACAAAGAGGTTGGGGACCACTGCCTTACACAGTCCCTTCCTCACAAGGTCTCTGCCGGACTCGTTCTCTGCCTCACATTGTCTCTGGCGGACGTTTTTGCCTACCCGGTCTCATTAGGATTCGTTCCTTTAAATGACGGCGCGTAAGATACAGGGTCATGGTTTTGTGCGCGTTTTAGACAAAGCGAAAGAACGAAAAATTTACTAAATATCTGAATAAATTTACATTTGAAATATTTGAAATTTTTTTAGTTTTGTGAGCTTTTTGAACAATTTCTGGTATTTTTGTATAGTTTGAAAAATTTATTTTATTTTTAAAGCTCTCCCCACCCGATCCCTGACAGAACAGGTCTCTGTCGGACCCGGTCTCTGACGGACCCGGTCTTTGCCTGACTCCTCTGCACGACCCGTTCTCTGTATGACCTGGGTCGGCAGAGACCGGGATAGGCACAGACGTAGTTCGGGAGATCGCGGGTGAGGCACAGACTGGGTGAAGCAGAGACCAGTTCTATTATTGATCGCGTAGGGAACATTTTGAAACAAATTTAGAAATTTGTCATAAATTTCGAAAAATCTAAAAATGCTGGAATTTGTCTAAAAAGCGGAAAAAACAAATATTTTCGCATTAAAAAAACCGAAGTTGAACTTTTTCAATTTTTTTAGTTTTGTGAGCGTTTTGGAAGTTGACCTGAACTTTTTGATTTTTTGAAAAAAATTGTTTTTATTTTCCTGCCAAAACCGGTCTCTATCTGACCCGGTCTCTGCTGTAACCTGATCAGTTTGTTGATTAGTGGGATTACATTACAGTTTTCATCTCAGTTTCAGTGGTTGGAATAATATTAAGACTTGGAATTTTTACAGGAAATGCAGGTTTTAAGAATGAAACAGCATCTTCTGTCCCTGCTTGATGTAAATTTAAGCTTTCAGTAATTGTAGTAAAAACATTATTGAGGGAATTTTCCACTGTTCCTGGATCCTTTACTTTCTCATTGTTTATTAAAAGAGATGGCATCTGTTCTGATAAATGTATTTTTCCTGTCACCCTTTTTATTGTGTTCCATGTTGTTTTTATTTTATTGTTTGATTTTGTTATAAGTCTACTGTAATGCTGCTTTTTTTTTGCCTCTTTTATAACATTATTCAGGAATTTGCAATACTTAATATAAAATGCTCTTGTGTTTCAGTCATTACTGTTCCTACTGTAGATAAACAGACTCCTTTTATGCTTGCAAGATACTTTTATTCCTTGTGCAATCCAGTCGTTCTTTAGTTTGCCTATACTTTCATATGTAATTGAAAAACTAGCTTAAAAAATATTTAGAAAAAGAAAAAAAAATGAGTTAAACTTTTTGTTGGTATCATTGACTACATAAACAGATTCCTATGTTTCATTCTTCAGAAGTTGAAACTGCATGATTGTTTCATTATTTACTTTTCTTTTCATCTGCATCAAAGGTATTAAGTTAGTAGCTGCAAAAATATTATTAATTATAAGGTACTGGGCATCATGGTCTGATAGACCATTTATTATGGGAGAAGTAGAAGTTGAGGGAAGTCTTGTTCTATCCACAATAATATTATCAATTGCTGTTCTTGAATCATGTTGAATTCTTGTTGCAAAGTTTACAATATGTATCAAATTATATGTTGCTAGTAATCAGTGTTTTTTCCCCTTCCCCATTGAGATAGTCTATATTCATGTTACCACAAATCACGAATTCAGTTTTTGGATTATACAGATACTTTAGAGTAGCATTTAGTCCCCTTATAAATTGTTGAAAATTACCTGATGGAGCTCTGTACAGGTTTAATATAACTAAATTAGATGTTTTTGTTTCTAGTCAAATTGCACAAATTACTAAAACCTGTTATTTACAGTGTTATTAAATATCAACTTTGTTGAAACATTGATCACTCTTAACAAAAATACACTCTTCTCCCCTACCTAATGAGTATCCATTTCATGTGAGGTGCAGCAAATCCTGTCAACCATCGCCAGAGCCGTCCAGAATCCAGGTCTGAGGTCTGCACACGTCTTTGAGCATTTATGTTAATGGCGAATTTTCCCAACTGTTCAAATTTACGCACGTAACAACGGTTGTATATGTTTGCCCACATATGCTTAAGTCTTCGTCTTCTCAGGTCGGCGTGTACTTTTTTAAGGTACTGTTAGTTCAGGTTAATTACGTTTGGACTAGGTTAAAGTATGTCAATTAAAGTGAGGTTTCAATGTGTTAGTTTAAGTAGATATGGCTATGTTGGTTTATATTCTGTGAGAGTGGTTTAGGTTAGATTATGTAATTATATGCTGTTATGTTATGCTATTTTATGTAATGTTTGGTTTGCTTGGGCTTGATTCTATTTCGTTCCTTAGTTTTAATCATTTGGTTTAGTTAGGTTAGGTTCACTTAGCTTATGTTAGGATAGGTTTGATTTAGTTATCCGAGTTACCTCAGTTACGACACAGCACTTCAGGTGACCTGGTTACATCAAGGTAAAATTAACTCCTCAATTTGTATTGAATACTATGGAGGTACGCGAGTCTAGCACAATGGGCAACTCAGTAGCGACTGCTAGAGTATGACGTCATTAAAATACACAGGATATAAAAATAACCGATCACACAAAAACTGTATTTTTTTGTGTTGCTACAGAACTTATTAACAAATTTGAACCGGAAGAACCATACATGCCCACAGTGATTCAGACAGAGCTTTGGTCAAAGTGCAGATATTACCAACATTAGGACAACCAACGCCAGGAGCAGATAACCTTCTATTTTCGGCGCTATACTGTCGTAGAGATAATGGCGGACGATGGCCGGAAATGTGCTCTAGGTTACGATTTCAAATTAATTAAACAAGGAGCTGAAGCTAAAGTGTATAAGGGAAATTATTTGGGACGACCAACTATTGTAAAGGAAAGATTTAAAAAAAGTTATCGCCTTCTTGATTTGGATAATCATATAACCAAAGAAAGAATTAAGTCTGAAGCAAGAGCAGTGTTGAGGTGTAAAATTGCTGGTAAATATTTATTTTTGTTCTCCTGAATATTCTCCTTCCAGAATTAACATATTTGTTTTATAGCAGCTAAGTCATGTCATATTTTATTTTGGCTCTTTCCCAATTATATTTGATGCAAATATTAGAAACCAGTATTGTAAGAGGCTTACATATGTGTAGAGGTAGTATAATTGAAATACAGCTTCAGCTTAATTAACCATCTGCTTATTATATGTAGTATGCGTTAGTTTATAATTTCTAGCCCATCTACCTTATTTATAAGGAAAGGAAGTTGTAAAGAATCATTTTGCTTTGTGTACTATTACGTCAGAAATCTTGTAAGTAGTTGAGCAACTGTTAATTCTCAAGGACTCTACTGTGTGGAATTAATTAGTTAATCCTTGAAATATATACAACTTTAAGGTTATTTCTTTGTAATATAGAAATGAAAGCAGGTGAAATTAACTTTCCATTTTGTAATTGCAACTACATTTGGCCATTAGAGTTAGGTATGTAAAATCTCATATGAAGATCACAAACATAAATACAAATTCTGTATGGGTCACTTTTGTGTGTTAATAATTACAAACACGGCAACAATGTAAAAGTGTATGAGTAAATAAAGAAAATGCAACTTTTGCATAGTCTGTACAAGAGTAAATTAAGCACAGAAATGGATCACTAAATAGTGTAATTAATTTGTAGTTCTTAATAGCCTTGCCAAATAGATCAGAGCATTTGAAACAAAGTGGGCATAAATTTGTCCCAGAATATGTTTTACTCGAGACATCTTGAAAGCATCAAAGTCTATTGAATATTTTTACCTTAACTGTCATAAGTAACATTCTCACGAGTCTTTTTATACAGGTAATTAACAGGTCTTTTAGTGAAGCATCAAACATTTCTTTATAGGAATCCACACTCCTGCCTTGTATTTAGTTGATTTTGAAAGGAGATGTATATACATGGAAGATGTACAGAATAGTACAACAATAAAAGACTATATCACACAAATATCTGAGGAGGCAGAGAATGAAGCTGGAACTGCAGGTAGCCTGCTAATGAAATTATACCCAATTGCTCAAGAAATTGGCAAAGTATTAGGAAAGTTACATGCAAACAACATTATTCATGGTGATTTAACATCATCAAACATGTTACTAGTGAAGGATGAAAAAGATACCCTAACCATTGTTTTAATTGACTTTGGTTTGAGTCATGTGGAATCAAGTATGGAAGACAAAGCTGTGGATCTCTATGTGTTACAGCGGGCATTGATGAGTACTCATGCTAATGTAGACAGACTCTTCGCAACTATTTTAGATGCTTATATGAAAGAAAACAAAAAGGAATCACATGAGGTACTGAAAAAGTTCAATGAAGTATGGGCAAGAGGACGTAAGAGAACAATGGTTGGGTGACGGAAGACATTGTGTCTAACTCTATACATTACATTATTATGACTACTTTGAACATAACTTTTTTTGTAAATCTTATTCCAGTGCCTGTACCATGTCCTTTTCATCCAGTACTTCATGTTAAAAAAACAGGGAGAAGTATTTTACCAGAGTATAGTCTATCCAATTGTATGAGCATCCATACTGACTTATATTTTCAGTTCACTATGCTATAATGTACAACTGATTCCTTGATTTGAGGGTCTCATGGTGGTGAGTACGAAGTTGGTTGTCTTGCGGGTTGTAGCGCCCTGTAGTCTGGTAGAAGTTACAAACGTTTTAGAGGCAGCAGGGACCTCTGAAATGCTTGTACACGTCTACCACACTACATGGCACTACAACCCAGAAGACAGCTATCTTGATTCCTTGATGTTGGAGACGCATGGTAAACAGTACCCCAGCCTTCCCCTGAGGTCCATGTCCTGACTCTGTACTGCCTCTTGTAAAAACACTGAAATGGCAATGGAACTGATTTTATTGTTATATATCCTTATTACTATGCAGTGACCACAACCCCTGACACAAAAATGAATTGTTGAACATTGTGTTAGGCCTGCCTTAGTCACTAGGAGCATTTGCCATTCCAACGTGCAGCCATGCCCCTTGATACTTCAAATTTCAGAAAGACAGTTACGCCCCAAAACACTATTTTTAAGCTTTTGGCTAACAGTTGTCATTAGCTTTATTTAGTCCTGTACTTCATCAAAAGGATCTGTACAGACACACATTATTATCTTTGATATATTTAAAATAATTAAAGTACTGTATATTCTGTGCTGAGCCATCTCTATCTCCACTGACTGACCCGCCCCATCATATTATTTTTTCTCTCTATCATTGAGGAATCAGGTATAGTTACATTTCTTATGGAAAAATTGTAGAGAAGGCGATTTATTCTTAGTTGCATGGGCAAAAGTTGGAATTGTACTTCAAAATGATATATTCCTGATTTTGGATTACTGTTGTCCAGATTTCTAAATGTAAATTGATTTCATATAAAAATGTTCAGCCTTTGCTAGGTTTATTATATGTGCATGGACAGAAAAAGCAATTCTAATATGTGCTCCACAAGGTATGAATAAACTTAAGTACTGTAATAACAGAAGCAGTCATTGTAGTAGTAATTGTTTTGTAAATGAGGTGGGCACCTAACTCTTGCAACACAACCATTAACCTCAGTGCACAAATATTATTAACTGGATTTTGTTAATATTAAAGTTGAAAGCCATATTAATATGCAGGGACTAATAATGAGGCACTAAAATATTCTCTGAAACAGTTTTAAGTCATAACAGAACTTTGCTTATCCCAACTTCTGTACCTGTCTTCTTGTGATACAGAATATGAATAAGTTGTAAGTAAAGTAAAGTTTGTCCCACTATACGCCATGTAGGCGTTTGGGGTGAGTGGAGGTATAGCTCCTCTCTTCCTTGACCTCGGCACTAGATGGGGGTGAGTGGTCAGCATCACGCCCCGGCCGGCTTTACCCCCGGGAAAGGACCCCGGTACCCATTGTAGAGGAGGCTGGGTGGGCCCCAGAGCCGGTCTGGACGCAGAGGCTAGAGGAAAAATCCTCTGCCCGTCGGAGATCGAACCCCGGTCGTCCAGCCCGTAGCTAGTCACTATACTGACTGAGCTATCCCGGCTCATTAACCGAGATCTTTATTCAACATTCTATTAACAGCAGTGGAACTCTTGGATGGAAACCTTATTCTCAAAGTTTTCTTCACATGGTATGTCATGATGAACATGTAACTTCTATCCCACATGACCACTATAGTCATCTTTAACCTTGTTATAAATTATTTCTTGACAGATTTAGCCATATTCTGAAATTAATTCAATTGTTAGAATTGTGGCCATACCATCAGACACTGGTCTACCCGAGCACGGGATAGAGAGGAATGGAGGAGATGCTGGGGCCCGCGCGCACGAGCCGATGAACAGGTCATCTAAGTGCCAAGTTAGAATTGTATTCAGCATGTCTAAGTCGCTGAGTTCTATATATGAAGTGTGTAAGGGATAGAATGTCTCTTGGAACCTTTCCTACTGTAATGCCAACCTCACCTTCACATGGTTCACCATTTTTACAAACTACAGCAGAGCGCTCCTTTCGGAGCTCCTCGGGGGGGTTGGACAATTTTGTAAAACGCAACCAACCTTGTGTAAGAAACTAAACTAAACCCCCCCACCCCCGAATGGAGTGTTAAAACACTTGACCAACCCCCCCTTCGGGAGGGTTAATTTAGTTTCTCATTCAAGTGTTTTAACCCTTGAGTAAGAAACTAAACTACCCCCCCCCCAAATGGGGGTTAAAACACTTGACCAACCCCCCATTTGGGGGGGTTAGTTTAGTGTCTCATTCAAGTGTTTTAAACCCTGAGTAAGAAATTAAGCATTTCTTTAATAGTTCGCTGTTCAGAGGCGATGTGCTTCTGCTGGAGCAGTGATCATGCGACTTGCGTGGTAGTTGTTGATCTCGTGAAGCGTTATTTGTTTACTCAGCATTGTTGTGTTCCACAACAATGCCGAGTATAAGGTTACATTGTTGATGACGTCATTTTTGACGACAGATTGGTTTACGATGACGAAATCACAAATTTTTATAGTAGATGAGGCTCCAATAATCAGGTCAAGGTTGCATAATAATTACATTGCTCATAAGTGTTGTGCCTGCACCCCTTTTCACCCTTACTTGAACCCCATGTTTTTGAACTGATTAATTTGGACTGTAGTTGCCCCACGTTTGGTGTGAAGGGTGGGGTAGCCATCGGAATTTTAATGGCGATGCAGTGGTAAGGTTCACTCCACAGCTGCGTGCTGCGTTAGCTTTAAAAAAAAGGGTCTCCATGAAAAATAAACAACGCACGCATGTGCCTCCCATATATATTGACATGGCGTGTGGGACAGTCTTCCATATATGGACATGGAGTAATTTTGGCCAATCAGAGGCAATAATTTCAGGGCGGTTCCTAGGGCGCACATCATCATGAGCGTCCCAAAAATTTCTATATAAGCGCGAGATTATCGCGCGTTGGGTCTCTTGTGTGGTGCAACAACTGAAGGAGGAATCTATGTCGCTGGTGGCCAAAAATGAGGAAACTGCGGTGATTTGCAGCTGGGGTGAGTGGAACCTATTATTGTCCGTTGGTTGGTGACGTGCGCTGGTTGGTCCTGGTTCGGACGTTGTATTTTAATTATTATGCAATTATATTAGTAGATTAGTGATGGGTGTTTCATTATTGGGTCAGAAGTACAACTCCCCCACCCAGTGAAGCCCGTCCTATCAGTCCTGCCGAGAGGGTTGACCGGTGGCATAACATAAGACCAAGTCATGCCATTGCATATGCTACAGAGGAAATGCCAATATTAAGATTATGTTCAAGTTCATATTTTCGACACTATACTATATAGTTCGAAGTGCTGACTGTAACATTAAATAAACCACAAATAAATAAAATAGCATATGATTTTGTTAATAATGTCTTTGGTATGCTGACAGTATAGAGCATGTGTGTGCAACATTCAGAACAGAGGTTACATTGCAAACTACAAAGCTCACTGCAGTCCAATTTGAAGTTCTTGTACCTAATGGTATAAATGACACTTGCATTATTGTGTAATTTATTTATCATTTGATTAAATTATTAATATAAAAACCATAATGCCTCCACACAGACGAACCATCAGGAAGAAGGAAAGTTGAAAGACCGAAAAAACGTAGGAAGGACCAGCTATGATTAACCTGAGGAGATTGAACACGACCAATGGCCTAATCTGTAGAGTTATTGACGATGATTAAAATTAAATTAAGTCCTTATTATGTACAATAGTTACTTGCCACTATTGCAATATCTGGCACAGTTTGTCAGTTATAATGGAATATGGGGTTTAAGTCATCATAATATTGGGCTGCCAGACTTCAGTTTAGCAGTATGCTAGTGCAGTGCATGGCCAGCTCCACAGCACAAACTATGACCCAAGGACGATAAAGGTTAATTTTACTGAATAGTTGCTCACATATACCTCCAAATTATAATGCAAGTGCAATGACTTCTCCATAAGTCTTAAGGAAATTGAAGAATGTAGTTCCAAACTTGCTCAATATATTTTTCATGTTTGCTAGGCAAGTACATATAGTTCTTGTTAAGTCTGTTTCTAATAGTTTGTTTTCCCAAACCTTTGTTAAGTTAACTGTTGAGTTTTGGAACCACAATCTTTGATTGTTTGTAAAATCCCATAAAAGATGTGATCTGAGCTACTATGCCTTCTGGCTTTATATACTCTTCCCATTCCTACAGACCATATTCTCTCTTGGATGTTGGCTGTGCAAGTACATCATAATTCTCACCCCACACAGTAAGAGTAGTATGGCCCACAAGCCACCAGCTCCATGTGCCAGGTCTCAAATATTGAGTGCATTTAAATGAAATTTAAACCAGCCCATCTGTTACAAAAGGTTCATCTTTACATGGACAGTGGTAATGTATAACTTATTAAAACTTCTTTCCCCATTTTCCTCATTTAATTATCACCATCCCAATATCAATCACCATTCCTATAATCCTCTTAATGAACACTGCACCCAAGTGGTTAGCACAGCAGCTTCATGTTCTGGAGGTCCTCCATTCAAATCTCAGCCTGCAGACCAATGATTGTAACTGAGGTTTTTCATGGTTTTCCTCAGTGCAAGCAATTGTAGATATAACCTGAAATTAGGCCATAACTACTTCCTGCCATAGCCTATATAATTCATTATTCACTGGCCATCATTTGACACTATATAATCTGAGCAACTCATGGCATTCTTAAACAAAACACAAATAAATACAGTGGAATTGCTTATTTACACATTTTTCTGGGGACTGATGAAAAACTGTGTAAATTCCAAGAAAGTGTAAACTGCAGAAGATACAAAAATCATAAGCCTAGTATGTCTGTTCCCCTTGACCCTTCATTGGCAAGCTTGCCAAATAATGTACTTATATTATTAAGCAGTTATGAAAGTTTCTGTAATACATACAATTCCAGAAACTAAAGTATACAGTATCTTGATGCAAATTAGTCACTTGTCAGACACAAAGTTCTTGCACAGAATCAGTAATGTACTTACTATTCAAAAAATAATCTAATATCTTGCTCTGTCTGAATATTTTTGTTGTGAATGTCCACATTAATTTGCATTTTCATCAATGGCATGATGGCTTTTCAGTACTGTCTTCTGAGTTGATACTGCTAATCCACATTTTTCACCAAAGAAGTAAACAACATCCTGTAATATACTGACTTCTTCATCTACTGTTCTTTCCCTTTGTGTTGCCATCATGGCCTTATCAAACATACAAATTACATTAAATGACTGCAGTGCATACAGCAGGCTCAGCTAACAGATAAAAGAACAGTTAATTTGCAGTCATACATTGGAACCTAAAATGATGCTTACAAGACGGTAATGTCTTATTGTTTTGTTGTGTCTCATTGTTCTGTTGTGTCTTATTGTAGGACCACTGCCACCGGGTAAAAACCCATTTGCAGTCAAAAATAAATAATAATAATAAAACTTCTCAGAATAGCCAACAATTAAAATGAAAAATGTGGGAAATTCAAATGAGATGATTTGTATTTTGCATGAAATAAAATCATTGAAATGAGAAGAAAGAAAATTTAAATTTTGGGAAAACATACATTCTAGGAATGTGAACAAGGTTTCCATCTCTCCTCAGTAATTTCAATTTATGGTAAATGCAACTGCATACTGAAAACCAGTAACATTTGAAATTCCCAGCTCTTAGATGGCATTACTCACCAGAACTCTACCTCCTTCAAGCATTACTTATACAAGCCTACAGTCTAGATGCCATGCCTCCAGAAGCAACAATAGTTTCTCCAGTAATATATGAGGCATCGTCTGATACCAGAAATGATACAACACCAGAAATCTCCTTAGGTACAGCCAGCCTGTTGAATACATTAAAATAAAATTGTTAGAGACATCAGTGTTCCTTCATACTTGCTAAATATCTTCAGCCAGACTTTCAGATATGGACATTATCGAAACTGTCCTGAAATTGTTAGTGGCATTGTTTGAATCGTGTTAAGATTTACAGGCATAACGATTCTGATTACCTTATTTACTTATACAGTTATCCCATCTATTTGCACAATTTGTTTACATTATGATGAGTGACACACTTATGCAGTTTTCCCCCTTATAATATAATGGCCACACAAGAATGGAAAGTTATTCATTGGTTATAATTAGCCCTTCAGTGATGGTAGTCATTTAAATGGTGTCCTACCCTGTAGATGGAGGACATTTAAACACCATATACCTGGTCTATACCAAGTACAGAGGCTGGCACCATGTGATGACACTGAAATCTATATCATGTAAGGAAACCAGTAGTGAAGGGTTGAAGAATATGAATTTTGTGGGTGGCAAGATCTTCCTAAAAGTTAATATGAAAATTTATTATTTTAAAAGATATTAAGCTCCATTATGATAAATATTATGTAGAATGAAAAGCATCAAAGAATGCACATACCGTTTCATGGGAATATTTTGAAGAAGTAATTCCTCACTTTCCTTTGATTCACGCAACTGTAAAATAAAAAGTATTTCAAAAAGTGTGGTGCTTCTGAACACTGAGACACTCTGTACAGACTGAATGCTGCCCATAGCTCAGAGTTAAGAATGAAGTAACACTTCTGATTGATGTTTAAGTTTTCCTATTTATAATTATCTGCCAAATTACTGCAAGAAGTAACAGTCATATATAATAAAAATACTTTGTTTCTAATAGTCAATGAGCAACATGAGGTACTTACAGCTGCAGAAAACTTTGTGATGACAATGCCAGGTGCAACACAATTAACTCTGATGTTTTCTGATGCCAAGTCTTTGGCTGCTGCTTTGGTGAGGCCCAACAATGCAGTCTTACTAACAGAGTAGACACCTAACAGCTGCTGAAAGCAGATATGTGTCATTACTTCAAGACACGGAGAGTGCAAGTCAGTCACAACCTTACAAGTGGGACGATAAGAATAACTGACATGACTAGATGATAAAAATTCTGTTCTGGCGGTGATCCTGATCTTGCTACAATGTCCAGATTGGTCCTGAAGCCAACCCAGCGTATCCTATGGTTACAGGGGCCCTTTATCAAGAAGAGCCAACCCTCACCTCTTATTCCAAGGTCAAGAATGTATGGGAACTTCACATCTGCTCCCCTTTAAGCCTTTGTGTTGTGTTTAAGCCCAGAGGTAACATTAACCTTACCTCTTACACAGGAGGTGAAGTTACTGTACTGTTCAGTCTCACTAACATGAATAGCCAAAAATGTAATTTCATTGTTAATGTTACTTCATGATACTTTAAACTGTAAAGCCAGTAACACTTTTTACTGTTGTAGTTACAAGAGCTTGTTTTAGGCATATGCTCATGCATATAGTACTGGCTCCAGTAAGCATAATTCATTCCGTTGTGTAGTGTATGCATTACTGGTAAGTCCTTTCCCATTATGCAGTCCCTATAAAACCAGGGACTGCACCAACAGAGCACGTGAGGAACAAAGGAATAAAGTTAATGTGTTTGCAGGTTGATTTGTAGTAATTTACCAGAGATTGGTAAGGTAACAGCACTGTATCATGTGGCATATCGAGTTTAAATAAATATTTATACTGTACGGTAACTGTTCTCTAGTCACAATTGAGTTCACAAAACATATTTTTTCCAGCTATATGAATATTTTTGGATTGTCTTTTCCCTCTTTCATTTCCGCTGGTCATTTAAAAGATAAAACGCTTCCTTACTGCTTATCATCTTTCTATCACTGGTCACACAATCTTATTCAGGCGATATGGAGAAGTGGGTGCGATTTAAGTTGATACTGTCAGTACTGGAACCTCTCCACTAAAGCGACATAGTTCACTTTGGCACTAAATGTGTTAAGTGGGCTACACCGCAAGAAATTAGTATTTTTAGTAAAACTGAAATTTGTCAGTGCCAGGATAAAAAGGTATAGCCTATGTCCTATAAGTTTCGGAATGAAACCAGTTTTTGGAGAGTCCTACCCTAATCAGGTTTATTGATTTAAAAAGTGATACAAATCTGATTATGTGATACAATTTAGTTATGAACTTTAGGCTGACATGCTAGTTTTGCCAAATTACCAGTAATATGAAACATAGGCATTAAAGCAACTATCATATTTCACTAGCAATTCTGAGCCATGGCACTGACAAATTAGTTGGGAAGTTCATACACATTTAAATATAATTTTTAATACTAACCCCTAGAGGCTCAAAACCTAGAATAGAAGATATATACACAATGCTACCACCATGACGCTTCCTCAAGTAAGGCAGGACCTCCTTGGACAAGAGGTAGGCAGCTTTTACATTCACCTCAAATATCTTGTCCCACACTTCTTCAGGGCTCTTTGAAACAAAACAAAGTCCATATTTAATCATGAAATCATCATTTGAAGTTAGTGAAAATGCATTGTGGTCTTCTGAGTTATGGCAACATGTAGTCTTGTAGGTGATTATCAATATTTTGGAGGAATAATCTGCTCTGAAGATGGAAGTGATGTGCTCCTCCGACAGACTGGTAGCCACTTACAATGCTACAAAGTATCATAACATAGAAGACCATGATCTGTAACATCATCATTTTTCTTCATAACTACATAGTAATACACATTTCTGCATAACATATATGATATGCAAGCCATCAAATATCCAACACATGTAAAAACTGCTAACTGCATCAATGTTCAAAAAGAAGACCTCCAAAATATGAAACAGGAGTCCTAACCATTAATTTGATCTGTTCTAAATGACAGTCTTGAAAGTAAAGAAGGGAGCTGACACAATCACAGGCTGAAGTAGAAATTAAGGCCTGATACAATATGAGAATGTTAAATTTAACAATAAACTTTCACTGTAGGTTTGTATGAAGTGGAAAAGTTAGTGTTGCGGTGCAGAAATATTTCTTCTACTCAATGGAAACATGCAGCAGTTAGCATTTCTGAGCTGTTCCACAATCTAAAGGTGCTACATGTTTGTGGTAATGACTAGCTATGTCAGTGTCCACAGAAGAAAGCAGAGCATGAAATAAAAAATAATCAAAAAGATTACTTGCTTTCTTAATTCCTTCTGAGATGTCTTTTTGTTGTGTTGAATATGTTACCATGCAGCACAAAAATTGAAACACAAATATTTACTATACAGCAAAACAAATTTTACTGATACCAGCATGTGTAATACCACAAGAATGATAGAATTTAAGACATACAGTACCAGCATATCATTCTAAGCTATTTGTTAGACATCATGATATCACTCTGCTTTATTTTGAAATCTGGATATCTTCTGTTTATTTCACACGACTGTAGTGTAAGCTGCAAACATTGCTATAGTATCTTTCATACAATATGTACATTACCATGAATTATGAGCTGGGAATAAACTGTATGCATATAGTCTTGTACTATTTTAATATTTTGGCATTCACCTTGTGAGACTGATGAAAACCATAAAAATCCTCATTCAAGAGTGTCTATGTCGTGGCTAAGATTCAAATCAAATGCTATCTGCGTTACCACTGGACTAAAATGGATGCTTTCCTATGAAATTTGGTTAATGTTACAATATAGAGTCCGGTGGTAATGGTACATTTACAACAATGTAGACACAAGATGACCCAAAAGCTAAAACATTACCTCCAACACAGGTCCAACCCCTGGGTTAGCAGCAGCATTTGAAACAAGAATATCAATCCCACCAAATTTATCTTGAGCTTCCTTAATAAGACGTTCTCTGTCAGATGCTTTTGACACATGACATACAACACCAGAAACTGAATATCCGCATGCTTTCAGTTTCTCGACAGCACTGGTAACATTATTCTCTTTACGACTGCTTACGACGACACTGGCTCCATCTGCAGCTAGACGTTCAGCAATTGCAAAACCAATGCTACAACAAATAAAACATGTAGGCACTGAGTCCTAAGTGTTGCACACTAAAAACACGATAGTACAGAACGTATTTCCTTGTTACAGGCTGGTTTGGGGTCTTACATATACAAACTGACTATACAGATTTCTTAGAGGTTAGATTATCTACAGTTTCTCTACTTGTTCTTAAACAACGGCATTAACGTTTTCTGGATGCATGTTAACCATTTGCACATCAGAATCCAATATTTATTGTTATGTAATAAATGAGACATCGATTTTACCCATCAGTTGATGCAGTGACGATTGCAACTTTTCCCCTTAACTTGCCATTAGATGCCATGTTCGATAGTGGTCGACCTAAAACCTTATTTAAAATTGTTTTAAGCATACTCATATAACATCAACAGCTTTCTATCACTATTCTGGGTTTAACAATACCGCGGATTACCTACACTACTGCCTGAAATTAAAATCATAACCACCTGTACTTCCGAATTTATTGAAACCCTAGAAGTCGAAGTATAGTGGGCCGTGATTTTAGTTTCGTATTCTGTTGTAAGCGAGAGAAACAAATAACTGAACTGGGAGCTACATACAAGACTGTTTGAAGGAACACTTCAAGTTCACTCTGATGCAATTGCATGAACAAGCAGCATTTCAGAAGATAAAGGCTGTGAGACATAGTTGGCTGCACTGCCTGGGGGAGGGTCCATCTGGACCTTGCATAACACGCCAAACTACGGGTTACATGTTCTGGTATGAAATAAATGCATCATCTGAAAAGATGAGATAAGAAGGGACTGTAAGTTTCAAGTTTTTCTTAAAATCGATGCCACATTCGCAAGCACATCACGAAAAGGAATTTATATATACAATTTGTTGATTTCTTTAAATTGTTTACAGTTTTCTTTGTTAATACAGTTAAAACTTTTTCGTTGCGAATTTCTGTCCAGGTCATACCAGAAGAACCAATCCATGGTTACGATCAACAGTGATTTCCTGCTAGTGTCCTTGTATCCATACATATTACCACATTCCTTGGATCCCAAAGTTGTCTGATAACAATAGCATATGGAATAAGTCGTAAAAAAAATACACTACGTAGAAACAAGTGCAATTCAAACTACAATAAACTTCTCACATAGAATAAATGCAGATTTCACATAATGAGCTGTTTCAAATACATCTATAAATATGTAGTAAATAAATTATATTACCCATTAGAATATTTATATTTAGAATAGTTATTAATTACGTGCTTAAAACATAGAAATACATTTTGGGGGGGTTATATATTGACTGGTTAATTAATGATAAAAACTAGTCAAATATTATCCAACATGCCTAAGATTTAAGAAATATGGTATGTGATAAAGCCTGGAGCTGCTTTCACTAGCTGTGAGCCATAAAACCAGTGTTACCAACACCCCTTGCAGTTTTCTTGTGAGGGTTTTGTAACCTGTGATATGTTACAGTAAAATATTACTTGATAAGCAGAACGGTTGTAACAGAATATAATACTAACGTAGGATGTAGCCACCTTCCATATCTGAAATTCTGGAGGTCGTATCCTCCGTTCTTTTCCTGCCCTGGTGGCATAGCGATTTAATTGACAGTGTACTTTCCTTAATTAACATAACAGTGATAGTGATGTCAAGTAGGACTGAAGCGTCCCGCTAACCAATTCGTCTAGGTGCTGTGCTATATTCTTGTTATATACACTCCAGAGTTTATTTCTCTGTGCTTCGGTCAGGCATCAGGTGAATCGTAAACTCTTTAAACATGGCCGCGTCCGCAGAAAAGGAAGAGGTTGGACGCAGCTCTAATGATAATGGGAAAGGGAACGGGCTTCTGTTATATCACCATCATTATTCCTTTTATTCTCAAAAGGTATATATAAATTTTCAACAGTGCCGAACATTGGTGCATGTTCATAATGCAAACAAAACTTAGAAAGTATTTATACAGAAGCTTCAGTATTAGCTACTTTTGTTTCTGTAACACTGATTCGATATGTTCATTCCTTGAGATAATAATGTGATGAATTAAACAACTGCCAACAATAATTTGTTTCATTGTGGGAAAAGTCCTTTCAGAAAGAATGCGGTTTGTGCTCACGATCATTCTCATTCGTTAATTCGGAAAAAAAAGTAGTTTTGCTCAAGTATAAATTAATTTAACTCGAATATCTAAGAAACAAATTAATCGGTTTGACAAGTAGAATGGGACAGACAATTTTTAATGACTGAAGCAGTACTTGCTTAAACTAGGTCAATGTAACTGTACATTCATTTAACATTACTTATATCAGATATTCTTTCATAATTGATTATTTCTACAGTCAAATAAATATAACCATCCCCCTTTTCTCAGCTTATCAAATTAATTTCCAAAATAGCATACAATACTTGTCTGGCTACATTCAGTGCTCACTGATTGAGTTTTGGATATGGTTCTTAAGTTTTGTTTGATGATTCTTGACAGTAACAGCATGTTTTAATGAGATTCATATCATATAGTTTGTGAAATTTTGTTGTGTTGTGTGTATGTAGTTTTTATGGAGGCTTCAGAGTTTTGGCTCCCCAGGGAAGCTTTTTAAAGTCCACTGTCACAAACATTTCTCAAAGTCGGTGTATTGACAATTTGCCAACAGGTGCATAGAAAACAGGTCAACTGTTGACAGTGTAATATGGTGATACTATTAAGCATACAATATCTGCTGTAAGCTGCCTGTACTGTGTAACATGCACAGTAAAACTGCACAGCCAAATATGAGAGGTAGTGGTTAGTCATAAGTCCAGTGACCAAGACTTAACTAATAGCAAAACAAAAGTCACCCAAGAACAAGCAGGGATGAGATTATGATAACATATAACTGTAGGATTTCAGGTTTTCATGGCAGTGAATCTGAAGATGGCTATTTTCTGGTCGCACAGAAGAATGGACAACATAAATATTTATGAAGTTTAAATGTGTGTATGTATGTATATTGTTTTACATATTCTAAATCCAACAGATGGTCCAACAGCTTATGTGAACAATATATGTAAAGCGAACCTGACAATGACTACATCATAGTCTAAACATACTGTTTGCAGGTGACCCAGTGCAATGGTGCAATAATACAATAGTGTAATTGCAATAAACACTGGTAGAAGTGTAAAAAAAGTGACGGTATAATAAAACTATAACTATACAATTTATTCTACTGCGGTGTGCATTTAAATCAGTCATCAGTGTTCATCCATCTGTTAATTTGTCTGCATTACAGGTTATCATGGCTCTCCATGAAAAGAAGTTACCATTTAAGGAACACATCATTAACCTGACAAAAGGGGAGCAGTACCAACCATGGTTCCTGCGTATCAATCCTCGGGGTGAAGTTCCTGTTCTTAAGGATGGTGTTAAGGTCATTCCAGATTCGGGCAGAATATTAGACTACCTCGAAGACAATTTCAGCAATGGTTTGTATATAATGTTATTGAGAACTGTATGGTAATACCAGCAGTCCACAAAGCACTGCACTGGCCATTTGGTACAGTTTATCTGTTGTTAAATTTGTTATAGGAGGTCACTTTCAGCTGAGACTTCGATACCAATATTTCATGTTCACAGGCGATACTCCTAGATTAATGCCACTGGACCAGGGTCCAGAAATACGCCAGAAAGTTCTCCAGTTCCGTACAGTTATTGACCATATACCTGCAGGAACTGTAACTATGGGATCATTTTTTCATCCAGAATTTTGTCAGAATCCTAAACAACCATTCATTCAACCTGTAAGAAAATCTTTAATGGGTAAGTACATCATAATCGCATTTTGTAGTCCAGTGCTGTGAGTACATGTAAAGAAAAAAATGTTACTTATATTGTGATATGTGTAACTATCAGTGGTGTGTTTAGGGCTTGTATTTCTTCCATATGAAAACAAAGTACTGTATAATACATATAATCAGAAAAAAACATATCTTAACTGAATGTGGAATTTTTTGAGCAGAATTGTTCTTTCCTTGTTATAAGATAGCAATGTGCATATTCTGTTCACACTGTTAAATAGAGTTAATCAGCATGATAATGTGTGATGATGCACCATATAGTATGAGCCAAAACAGCTCAGTTGGGGTTCAAATCTTAGTAGGGACATTAGATTGTTCTTTTAACATAATTTCTATAAAAATCCAGGTTCACCTAGCCTTCTATTAAATGGATAGAGAGGACTCTATCCCTTGGGGTGAAGTGGCTGAATAGTAAAACTATCCATTCACTTCCCACAACTGTTGAGGTCTAGAACTTTACTTCTGTGCCCCTGTATACCTTCATGATTTGGCATTTAAGCACAAAGGCAATCATATACCAGGTGGAGCTTTAGCACAAAAAATATTATTTGTCATTTGTTTAGCTGCAGAGAACAACAGTGCCAATATCTTACGAATGCATGCAGAGAGAAATCCTGACATTCAGGAGATCCTGCTTCAGAAAGCAAAGTTCCAGGAAACTAAGCATGTATCAGTAACAGATAAAGAGGAGTTCAAGAAGATTCTCAACCAAGTTGACTTGGTGTTGAGTGAAGTGGAGAAAGAGCTTGAATCACATAAAGAAGGTATGATTTTAACCTCTTCACCCTATGACACTGAAGTTTATTCAAGTAATATTCAATAATTCAGTCCATACTGTGAAGAAAACACAACACTTTACTATTAGAAAGATCATTTGTTTAATGCTGTACAATGAGAAACATACAAAACCAATAAATACAAAATGCAGATTGAAAGCACCTGGTGCATATAGTTATCATTCATCTTCAAAGGGTTTAAGATATCCAGCAGGTTGAGATTAAAACATTTAGTATGTATAGTGGTGTAATTTTGTCACCCCAGTGCTATGTTGTCCCACATGGCGGTTGTTTCAATGCTCTGTGGTGGAAAGATTGAGACCCTTTTCCTCAATGGAAATAACAATGGGTTGTAATGTCATGTGGACTTGTGGATAAATATTGTTTCAGAGGAATATACTGCCTCCATTTTTAGGGCTGAAGTGCATTATGTTCCACAAACTTTGATATCTACTTAACCACAAATAGACATGGTGTCTCAACCCGGAAGGCCAACATCGACACATAATTAGGAAGTTGGGCCTCCCCATCTATATAGTTTATCACTACAAGTACTGAACAAATTCTTTTAGGGTTTGAGATAGAAGGGACTGTACTGGCCCAGTAACTCCTACTTTTACATGAAGGTTAAATATAACCGATCCAATTTTCTACAAAACAGTCATAAAAAGTTGGAAGAACTCACAAAATACAGGTCACATTAAGATTGTGACTTTTCTTAAGGTATTTTGATATGGTGAATATTTTATTAAAGTCAAAGAAATTACTTTGCAGTGTGATTATATCTGCAACAAACATTTGTACTGAAATAAATAAATGTTAAGGCCAATTAGATTTGCAAACCTAAGAACATGTGTTTGGAAAATACATACCCTAAAGCGGAGTACACCTTTCCACACATCATTAACCACTTACTTTATGTTTTAGAGGATGGAGATAGTTATGCTCTACTGTGCCATCCAGCCTTAACTATCTGCAGGCAAGCACCAGTACTGTTGTTTCTGAAAGTTGTCTGTTGTTAGTTGGTTTGTAGTTTAATGATTCTGTATCAACAGCGTAAGTTCTGTAACATCAGATGAACTGAGAAGATTAATATATACACCAAACTGGAAGGTTAATATGCCAAGCATAAGCCATCAGCCTATTATAAATATACTTGCAGGCTTTTCATCCTGGGATACTATCTTTTCCTGGTTACCATAACCATTTAAAGGCTCATATGAATTCTGTACTTTAGTGTATGAAAGATGATCAGAAAATAAGGTAGATAAGGACACTGTGACACATTTGTTACCACAGAGATACAGCTACTTGCACACATGCTGACATTATAACATTTTTCTATAGGAAATCAGAACAATGAAGCCTTTTGGGGAAAAAAATCCCCATTTCCCACCCATACCACTGGAACCATTGCTGGATCCTCTGGGCTGTGGGTAGTGTTTACTTGTCACAGAGCATGATCACACCATCTTTCCTGGTATCTTTGCATGCAAAAAAGTGAATCATAAGCATGCTTTCCCGGCTTTCAAACAAATATTTGTACCCTGTGAACAGTTACCAGCGAAACCCCTTCCACTCGTGAAAATTTACCACATGCTTGTTTGTACCTTACTTTTGGAACATCCTTCATATGAGTCATACAATCCTTATGAGTATACAATATAATTTAATAATGAAAGAATGTTAATCTTGTAAATATTTTCAGATCAAAAAAATTGGTGGTTGTGCAGTGATCGTTTCACAGTTGCTGACATAGGACTGGCAATCTTGCTGGACCGTCTGAATCGCCTTGGATTGGAGCGATACTTCTGGGAAGATGGCAAGAAACCACATATATCACAATATTATCACAGAGTTCAGCAACGAGATTCTTATAAAAAGACAATCCCATCATCTCTGTCGCTTGTCAAGATGTTTATTCAGACACAGTCCCCACTTATTGTAGGAGTGGCCACAGCTGTAACCGTCATCATTGGTGGTATATTCTACTATAGAAAAAATAAGTGAATGAACAATGTGATCAAGGATACTTACATCCAGTGAAATTCCACTGTTATGTGGTGAGCATGTTCTATTCATCATATACAGTATATGTTTATATTTTTAACATATTCCAGTATTAATGAATATAGATAAATTAAATGCTGTTTTTGCTCATTTTAGTATATGGTTGCCAACTTTACACATTGTTACTTTGTACAGACTGGGATACTGGAATACTAGACAGTGAACAAAGTACAGAAATGCTGTAATACTACTTGTAACACATCATTAGTAGAACCCTTTAGAATTGATAAAAGTACCATGTTCTTCTGGAAGTGTGAACTTAGTCGCTATAGTAACAGAATTAAATATTATATGAGTACCACATCTAATCACAGTGCTTATGCGTTTATATATATATGTCAGGTTTCATGACAGGGATTTTCCCTGTACATACAAGTTAAGTGTGCTTCCACAGAGCTAAAGCACCTTCTGACATTTTACTGATATATGGTATTGGGTATTCAATGAAGACTTTAAGATCACGTGATCTGTAAAGTTTGAAACTAAAGTTGTCTAAGTTAGATAACAGACAATCTTTTATTTATAATTCAGAATTTGCAAAGCACGTGTGTATTCAGGTACAGAACTTACTGAGTGACACTTATGTAAACACAATATATACTGACCTTCAGAATTATAATTTCCTGCTACCTATAATTTGTTCTGAGTATCAAAACAGAACATTATATGGTATCAGAATAATCCTTAACTGTAATGCCACATATACACACATGGGCATCAACCTTATTAGCCTTGGTTGCAGATAGACCATTGGTAGGCTCTTGATTATGAACCTTTGGTCCCATAAAAGGAGGCAGTATGTATGATGCTGTTATTACTATCCATGTTGTCTTCTTATTTTATGGTTTCTTGATCTTTGGAATTATGAAGTGTTTTCTGGAGAGGATGACATCTTAACCCATTTTGCTTACTTAGTATGTACATGAGCTGAGGTATCATGTCTGTCTACAGACTGGACAATCAAGGTTCAATCTCTGGCAGGGGCAAATTATTTTTCTTCTTGCTTCTGCATCCAGACTGACTATGAGGCCCAACCAGCAGCTTCCTATCCAGTGGGTGCTGGAGGTCCTTTCCTTTGGGCTAAAGCATGGCGAGGGTATGACATTGACCACTCATCTCCATCTAGTGCTGAGGTCAAAAATAAGTAGTTTCTTCCTCTCCCACCAAGTGTCACCATGGTGTCACAGGACAGCTTTACTTTTACTCAGTACATAAAATTGTTTTGCGTATTTTAAATGCATTTCCTAAAATTATCACAAAACTTACATACGTGCATACATCTCTTCACCTGTATTTCATCTTTTATCCACTGTTTCATGGCCATCAAAGTACCTCACATCACTTAACATCTTCACTGGAATATCAAGCCTGAGGCAAGCTGGTATCCATTCCAGCCAACATGAAGGTACAATTTTGATATTTTCAAATAATCAGACTTTGTATTTCAAGTTATCACCAACAGGGCATGGCAGTGTAATATCTGAATTTTCAAGCAGTTGCCTTGTTGATCACTCAACTTTACTTTCTTCAAATACATATAAACATGGATGTGAAAAGATGCTTGGAAAATGTCTCACATAAGCAGAGTAGCAGTCAACTAAATTCCAATACTATGGTTGATATCCCACAACCATGAAAGTATGTCTGTAGCTTAAAGAACAAAATCAATTGGCTGTTATCCTACCACCACCAGGAAGCACAATTCTTCAGAATCTGATGATAGTTGGTCATCTAGACAGGAAAGTCCCTGTCTTTTATGAAACCCACTGCCATCTTCACAAGTCTGAAGATAAGCTTACAGGCTTTGTGGTCTTTAGTCCTTCCTGGAAAATTCTGGGATAGTACCTTAAATTTGGCTACAACCACTTCTTGTCATATCATTTCCAGTTCATTATTCATTAATCATCCTGTCATATGATGATATATAGTATGAGAAACTGACAGTGCCCTTAAATAAACTACATATAAAATAGTATCTCAAGAAAGTCAAAGGCAAATATACGAAGCCGTAACCATACCTTCAGTCTGATTACTCTTTATTACCTAGCAGAATTTTATCATGAAGTGTGATGCAAGGGAACAAAGTAATTGTGTATATGATCATGTGCTATTGTATTACCTGACTAAAACAATGAGTGCATAATTCTACTGAAAATATAAAAGGACTGATCTGGCAGATTATTTTCTTAATGTGAATTTAAGTTTATCCACCATAAAATAAATTGTAATAGAATTACAAATTTCACCAGTAACAGACTGTTTAAAATACTACAGAAGGAATTTTACAGAACATGCTGAAAGACTGAGCTGTTACCAAGCCAGAAGAGAAAAATGCTCAGAAGGGCCTCAAAAAAGATTTGAAGGTTGTTTTGTAATACCTATAACATGCCAGCTAGATATGAGAATGATGATGAAGATATCCTTGTGAAATTCTACTTTTCTTGTAGATTGTGGTTTTCTCAATGGTGACTTCATGTAGTCTTTTATGTGGTTAATGTTTCTGAGAAACATGTCACCTCCATGTTAAGGGGGTGAAAGTGGAATAGGTTCCTCTAAAATGTTGGTAACCACCTATGTGACCATACAACATGACAACCCAGAAGCCCACAGTTCACAAGATTAACCTTGTTTTCCAGAATGCTGTAACAATGGTTTGCACTTCTTCACATATGGGAGGCGCAAAGTCATTAACCTCAATGAGGATACTCAATCTCTGAAGTGAATACTAGGTAGTACATTATGACAGGCCATAACCATTTACTTCCACATTTTTTTAATCATTACCAGTCATCATCCTTTTAAATGCTGTATCACTTATGCAGCTGAAAGTTTCAAACAAGTGATCCAGTTTTCCAGATGCCAATACAATTTCTTTCTCTCTATTTTTTAATATGAACATGGTAATATAATGCAACTTATGCAATGACACTGAGTCTATGATTATAATAAGGAACATGTTTCAGTGTTTAAAATACTTTAAAGGAATGAAATAGCATCGTCTGTATTACAGCAGTCAGTAAAATTAAATGTAATCTATAATTAGTTTTGTAAGGAAATGACTATCAGTAGATCCTCAGATCAGAGGTACTTGTATAATGGAGTTGTTCTTGTACTTAAATAGGTCTGGCATTCAGATACACTTGGCAGACAAATGTATACATGGGGTAAGCACAATAGGACTTTATACTTTCAAAATGATACAGAAAACAAATGCATGACATACTCAGAACTTCACACCCATACCAGTCAATGGAAAAACTGTCAAGAGTTTTGTTTCAAATGCCCCAGGTGATCATTGTTATGTACTGCCACTAGATGCCACTAGTTTTAACAATGGCTACCTCACAGCAGAGGAGTTTGTGTGTTCTGCAGTTAGCAAAGAAAGAGTCTGTAACTCTGCAACTTGCATTTTGCACTCAGTTCCACATGGAACCACCCAGCTGAGTATCCACTTTATGCCACAATCTCTGCCAGAGTTGGGGCAGTGAATCACAACTGCCATAGCTTCCATCACTATGAACGCTTTGCACAAAGTTTGGGGAAAGTTGGATTATCGCCATGACATCTGCCATGTGATTCACGGAGCACATATCAAGTCTCTGTGAGATGTGTACAAAACTTAGTTTTTCTATTGACTGGTGTAGGTGAGTTCTAAGTACCCCACATTTATTTTTTGTGTCACTCTGAAAGTGTAAAGTTCTTTTGTGCTAACCCGGTATCAACTTTCCCCCAAATATGAAATGTTGCAGGAAAATAAATTTGATTACAGATTTATCTAAAGAGTTGGCAACTCTTAAACATCCAATTCCAGACAAATATTCACATTCTTATGAATTTTTACTGTACACAATTTACTAAATATAGCATTTAAAAATCAGTTTGTAATATTTTATGCTCACCACATATCAAACTGAAGAAATTCTGTATTTCAGTAGAAACATGACAAGTTATGTTCACATGATCTTGCTCAAAATACAAGCCAATCTGTAAGTATACGTGGACATTGTGCCCACCCTTGAGGCATTACTGTTATGTCCATGTAGGGAGTAGTAGGATGATATAAACAGTATAAGTAGAATTTCAAATACAAAGACTGGTTGTACGTCTGTACATTATCAATGTAGTTAGAGCGTCATCTCACGCAACATATACACAAGTGGTGGTGGAAATTAGCTGTGAAAAAGAATGTAACAAGAGAATTGTAGCTAATATATTTGTGACAAAGATGTGAATAAATGTCATTCCATATAATTACATAATGGAACATGATCAATTTTTTTTACACATATTCAGCTTTTGTTTGAAGTATTAAACTTTTATTGTAAGTAATCAAATCCTCATAATAGAAATAGATAATAAAATCTTCTTTTGTAAAATTTAGGTTTAAAGTTTCCATTCTTTTGTACTTTTTATGTTAATATTTTATATAGAACATAAATAAGGCTCAAAGCATAATTATAATGGTATTAAGTTGGGATAAAAAGTGCCTTAAAATTTGTAAATAAAATTTTGTTATGAAAGTCTGTCTTAATTTTTATCCTGATGCTACTGTTGATGGTAAATTTTCATAAAACAATGAGGACTAGCAACCTCAGTGTCTGTCCTGTGTCTTACTTCTGACTGCTTAATACTTTAAAAATTAATCCACACATCGAAATGATTTTAAAAGTCTGAAAAGAAGAGGAATGCCCAGGAACCTATACATATTTACACGCCCACCAGTGTCCACTATTACTAAAATATAACATATATTCTTTGCAATGAGTCCAACAATCTTAACAGGTAATCTTTTGCCAACTAAAACATAAGTTGTTCCAAATAGCATGGGCAAACAAGAAAATTATGGAACTCTTTTTGTTTCAAAACCATTTTTTTAACATGTAGAAGAAACAACAAGTCCCAACTGCAGATTTCACATCGAATATACTTGCAATTGTTGTATAATGTGGCCTGTGAAAGCTGAGAAAATGTTATATGAACTTGACATGCAGAAGATGGTGACCCTGATAAGCAGAAATGTCTGTCCATAAACAGTATTATATTTGATATGTTATGGGTATGTAAAGAACTACGTAAGTCATATGAGGATTTCAGGTTTCCATGGCAGCATGGACCTCTGAAATGTTGATATACTTCTACCAGACTACACAGCACTACAACCTATAAGACAGCCATCTCCTGAGTCATATGAGGTATGAAGCTTTCATGTTGAATCAAGTTTTGAAAAAACTTTCGTGAACAGAAGAGAGAAATTTATATGCACAACCTGTAATGTTCTTGTCCATTCTCAACACTGGCATGAGTAGTAACACATTTTAAAACATTTCAAATTATATTGTATCATACAAAAGTAGTTCATACAGTAACATCTGGAAAAGAATCCATTTCATACGTGTATAAAATATAAAAATTTATTACAAATTCTTGGAATCAATATGCACACACAATACATACTCCATTCTTCTTCAATCAGATCTAGAAATACCAGTTTCAGTATAGATACAGTAAAACCTGTTTATAATGGAATTCCAGGGACCTGAGCTCATTTATAAAAGTTATGTGCTTCTAGAAATATTGAAGTAGACTCATGAAGATGATGTTGCAGTGTTTTTCCATCCGACTATTCAAACCAAGCCATACTGAGCCAAGTAATATGACATGGACAATATTCATGATCCAAATCATGAGCTAGAAATTCTTCTTGCATATGTAATCTGCATTGTTTCTGAATAGTACAAATTTTATGTCTCCATTTCTGTGTTCAACAAGTTCTGTTTATTGTGAGTAATTCTACATCATTCAAGATTGTATTCTTTGGACGTAACAAATTTTCTAATGAAGGCAGACTCCATTTTAGACAGGCTTTACTGTAGTCAGTACTTTGTTTATCAGGGTCAATAACAACAGCTTTTAGTTAAAGCATGTAATAATAAAGTCTTGCCTCTACAGACAACCCAGTAAGCAAACTGTTTACAAATTGTATTTTTAAATGCTACTTCTTTAGCCATGTTAATAACACTGCAAAGTGTCTATTAAAACTGCTCCATCCAGCCATTTGTCTCAATGTATGAAATAACTCATGAATGGATAAACCAATCTTAATTAAATGTGATACTAGGGAGGGGTCCGCAGTGACTGCGCGTTCTGAGGCGTGGGCCTTGTGCCGCTTGGTCACTGGGACCATGGGTTCGAATCCCACTCAAGCCATGGATGTTTGTCTGCGATTTTCTGTGTCATGCTGTCTTGTGTATAGGTAGAGGCCTTGTGACGGGCCGATCCCTCGTCCGAGGAGTCCTACCGAATGTCTATAGATCAAGCCAATGAAAAGTTGGGACCCGCAGTGCTCAGGCACTTGAAGAACGGGTCGTTCCCAGTATTCCCAGATACTAGGGAACTTTTTTAAAAACTTTTCAATTCTCATTTAGACTGAGTAATTTTAATGGCCACTTTATCTGAGAGTATAAACAATGTTTTCATTCTATCAATCAAACATGGCTGTTAAATGTGCATTGTATAATTATACAAAACTAGAGAATACATGAAAGGAATCCTCATAACCATATTTGATTATCTTAAATTTTCAAACACCATACCTTATAATATAGCAGTTATAATTGTAGGATCACAGTAAATCAGTAAGCTAGGCCTACTTAAATTCTTAACTAATGACTAATCATTGTCATTTTGTCTTTCTACAGCTGCTCAAAAACACTCTTCCCAGCTACACTTAGGGCTGCCTACATCCTGCAGAATGATTATTTAATCAAGCGAGCATTTGCTCTGGTTATTATTTGTAAATAAATTATAAATATGTCATTTATAAATATAATTTTGATTTATTATTGTTTTTCTCAAATATTTTAACTTTGTCACACTTTCAAAGGATTTATTAGTCACCCTAATATGCTTTTGCCCGCCTGTCTGCTGACGAGATACTAACATGTACTTAGTTTTTTTCTGAATTTACTTCTAGCCCCACCTTTCTACTAGCTTCTAGTAAAACTTCTGTGATACTCTTTATTGTATTAATATCGTCCCCCAATAAATTAACATCATCAGCATATGCCAATAGCTGATTTGTCCCATTCAATTGCAAACCCTCCTGCCTATCTTGGACTTTCCTGATGGCATATTCTAGTGCAAAGTTAAAGAGCAAGGGAGACAAAGCATCTTGTTTTAGACCGCTCTTGATGAAGAATGTCTCAGATACATATTTACCTACTCGAATTTTGCTACAGGTTTCATTTAAGCACATTTTTATTAGACTCACTAGCTTTTTTGGTATACCAAATTCAATGAGAATATAGTGTAACATTTCTCCCTTAATAGAGTCATCGGCTTTTTTAAAATCAGTAACAACTGATGTATGGTCCCACTGTACTCCCATTTTTTCTCTAGTATCTGATGGATGCAGATCTGATCAATTGTTGATCTGTTAAGTCTGAACCCACACTGATGATCCCAATAATTTCATTCACATATGGAGTTAACATCACCAGAAGAATGTTTGATGTTATATATGAAGACATGTATAATTCATCATTTCATCCCAAACAAAATAGTTAAAGGAAATCCAGTCCTATAACTTACTGTATGTTCCTTGTGGTTTACATCAATTCCTAAAGATAAGTACAAGAAACCAGAGCTATTTACTGTCCACTGCTATTTAAACCAGCATCCTCCCCCTACATACATCAAATGAGGTATACGGCTGTGTTATGTATCATATACCCATCTTATTATATTCTGGCCCAAATTTCACTTTGGAACAGCAAATTTAAGTGTTTTTGATACAAATGTTATGCAACTTTTCATAGATTTGCCTGTTTTCCAACGAAAAACTATCAACGCAAAACACAATTAAATATAGGTATAATCTATGTGCTGAATTTCTTAATCTATTCATTCAAACTATCATTAGAGGAGTAACATATTTGAAATTTTATTCTGCCACTGTTTACCATAAAAATTACCTGTCACAAGATTAGTCCATGCATGCAGTTATTAAGCAAAGAATGAATGAAAAAGGTAACAGTCCAGTGAAAACAGTTATTCACTATATAATAAAAATATAATGCAAGAATAAAATAGCTTTCTACAGAAGGAAAGCAAAATATTGATACTGGCAGTCATGGATCACGCTAGTACAGACAGCTAAAATAGGTTTACACAATAATAAAGTCTACCAGACTAAATGGTGTAACATCCCAGGACCCAAGTCACCTTCATACTTTGCTCATGATAACATGAATCTCACCTTTATAAAAAAATGTTGCCATCACAAGCCATAGGAAATTTGTAGTTATGTCAATTTTGCTAATGACCAACATGGCTCTCCCCCTCCCTCAGCAATCAGCACTTACATTGACATAGCAGGGGCTTAGAACCAAATGAAGATCCCCCTCTCTCACACACAACAAAGACAAGAAACCCATCAGAAACAGAGAATATGCATGGTACATAACCCATGAAAATCAGACAAACATACAGACTGGATCAGTAGCTTTTGAAGTCAGACTGGTCAAGACATGGATGTATGTAAGACTAAAGCCAGGCATGAAGGAGACCAAATATTACTCTTCATAGCACTAGTGATATAATAACTGTAAGACAGCTAGTATGCATGAGTGGACACCACTCATTATGCATTACATTTTAGCGTGATTTATTGTGAAGATCTCTAGGATCTCATACTAGAAAGAATACACTACTAGAATCAATAAAATGTTTTTATTGGGACAACTGAATAAGAATATACTAGAGAATAATTTCAAATGTTTGTGACTTATACTATAAGTTTTATCAAGAATACACAGCAACGATCATATCTTTGAGTATGCAGCATTAAGTATGCAATAATGTCTCACTGTCACTAGAATCAATAGGAAATATGTATTTCAAAATACCATTTCTACATTAATTTGCTTTTGTATAAATGTACTGGTTAGGGAAGTCTGCCTAACAATTGATTTGTCACCCAAAAATAGCTGCCCTGGCCTCCTTTTAATACACTACCATTAAGAAAACCTTTAACTCAGTCAGTATAGTGACTGACAACAAATTGGATGACAGGGGTTTGATCCACAGCATCTTTGTTGTGTCTGTGTGCCTGCTTGCATTGCCCTGTCTGGTAATGCCAGGTTTGCTTCCAAGTCACCATCATCCCACTACCACTGCAAAGTTCCACAATTTATTTTTGGTTCCTTAACAATTCTGTAAACAGCTCAGACTACATCATCAAATTACAGGATGAGTAATGAATGAATTAAAAATGATATGGAAGGGGTCATGGTTTAATTGAAGGCACTTTCCTTTAAGGACTGAGAAAAACTATGAAAAATATAATTCAGTATAACCAGTATCTGAGGCAAGATTTGTATCTGGAACCTACTGAATATGAAGCATGACACAGTAGTACAAAAAAGGACAAAACACAATTTTTCTACATGGTAAGTAGAAATCTTTATCAAACACCCTCCAAATTCAGCATATACCTTTATGATTTTTCTATATATATCTAGGAAGTAACTGAAACAGTAAAAATATTTTAGAACTAACATACCTAGGGTATCAGGTAGATAACTTGAGATATATATTGTGACCAGTGACCAGTGTTAGCATACAAGCTATGAAACTAAATTCACAAAAAGAATGTAATATGACAGTAGTCACTATTTACCTTAAGTTATGTGGAAACTTTCATTGTAGAATATTTCAACTTTTAAGGTTTATCAATTTCTCTGTAATTGTTTTGTTATAAATTATTAGTTTTACTGTTAACAGAATTCTACTTTTCACTTTACCACAACCTCTTCCATATACTGTCAAACATATGGTCAATACAACATCAAAATAGCTTTACTATTTAAATAAGCCTATTAGCTGTGACCATGAGTGGGTTAAAATGAGATTTTACTCTTTTTGTTCTGAAGAAAAAATTAACAACACATTTTTTGTCGGAAAAGTAGCACAAAGTATTTAAAAGTATCTATCCTAAATAAATACAATTCCATTATCTATCATAGTAATGTTTACAAATTAATACATTATGAACCGTCTTTTGTTAGTTATAACACATAACACAATATGATATAAAATGAATGTTTCTAGCTTCAATATTATACATAAATGAAAAATATCCCAGCATATTTCTCGCACAACAAGAGGAGATTCGAAGACTTGTAAACATACTTCCGAAAGGACATAAACTATCAACACTTCACATTATATTGAGTGACCTTCGTATCTGACAAACAAGAGAGTACTTCTTGCAATTACTGTGATAAATAAACATTTGAATCACCAACTCTCAAATAATTTCCACATATGACTTCACTGTCAAGTCTAATAGTCTAGAGAGAAAGCTTCTTAATTACATATCTGAGCGATAAAACAAACATAATTTTATCTTATTCCCTCACAATAAAATAAAAACAAAAAACAAATACAACATCTTAACATCATATAAGTGCCAAAAATACATATCATAGTTCAAATTTAAAAAGATATCCTGGTTTTTGGGTTACATTGTGGCATATCAAATACAGATAAGAAGTTTTTCAATATAAGTATTTTGAATCCATAATTTTTTTAAGGCAGGATCACATGAAAATTGCAAAACACTCAAACAAACAGGCACTAACACCATGCACTAAAATGTAAAATTTGTACTTGAAAATGTAATGAATCTTTTAAATGAGAGCTTTCTGTTATTGAAGGTGGTACATTCTTATGATTTATTTGATGAATTCAACTGTGTGTCTGTTTCAATATCTGTATCTTCATCCTTCTGTTCTCTGTTCTCCTGATTTCGTAATCCATAAAGAGGCATCCCCATGAATGTTGGAAGCTGATGTTTAGCATTACTTTGGGGAGCAGTAGTTATGCTTCTTCGCTTTGCAGGCTCCTTGGGTTGCCGAACATCCTTATATTTGAACAGTCCTTCTCCAGGTAAATTTGGTAATGCCCGAGGTAAAGTGTACCAGTAACGATACGTAAAGAACCATGTGAGAATGGCAATGGCACCACTAACAAACTTTTCTATCACTTTGTGGTAATAAAGAATTGTGCTTACCAACATAACATCCCATAACACTGATAAAAATGTCATTGCAATGAAGAATAACCTGATGTATACGGTAAATTTGTCATAGGACTCTTTAAGGTTTGAGAATTCCTCAAAAGATAGTCCTCGTAAAGGATTACTGGTGACTGAAACATCTCCAACGTTTCTTGCATGCTCTTCATTCCTGATCAAATCTCGTATACCCTCCCACCCATTGATTGCACGAGCTTCCTCAATCAGAACAAGACTGCTGTAGATTAATATAAAAACATGTCCAGATATGTCAAAACCATGCCAAAAGTATCCACCAGCAAGACAAGTTTCTTTTGTTTGGAACTTCTCTGGTGAAGCATTGCAACGACCATACACTGTTTCAATATACCAGAATAATGTTGTCCAAAAGTACCAAGCAAATGTTGCTATACCCAACCTTGCAAAATGCTGCAGAATTCTGTCACGTTTGCCACAACAGTACGTGAAACTAGTCATAAAAAGAAATGGAGATGTAACAAATAAAGTCCAGCCCCAACCTAATTTCACAAAATACTGATTAAGTACATTATCTGACCTAGAAAAATATGTCTTCGGAAATGGCAGAACGTCTGCTAGGATAGACACAAGAAACAAAGTTGCTCCATAGATAGCAACTTTTATACTAGTATCTACGAATAACGTTCTCCTACAGACATGAACAATCATCATTAACAATACTTGTTTCACTGTCGCTGGTTCTGGTAATGGTTTCTTTCCTTTCGTTTCCCATCCTGGCGTCTCTGAATTTGGCCTAAAATTTAATTTAGAACTTGGAGAATGCAAAGGACGGCGTTTCGAGGCCATGATCCTGCGGTTTTCATTAGTCACGGCTTATATGATCATAGCACTGCGTGTAAAGTAATTTACCTCACACGAAAACATCTTTTCACTGCCAACAGGTATTCTTTGTAAAAACACTCCTTTTAAGGAACCCGAAGGTTAGTTACCGTGTTTACAAGAACCCATCTCTGGCCTTATCTTGAACCACATGTTTGTTCGTATCACGTATTCTAGACTTAATTTGATATATTTTACTCATTTCTACTATAGCCACTACATGACCCATCCTGCTTGATCAGATTACACCACACGGTCACCTTAATGTTATGGAAGTATAGAAGCAAATTTCTAGGAAGCAATGATCCATGTACATTTGCGCCGATGATCATGGCGTGAAGTACGAACCCCAGGCCACGCAATACATAATAAGCATGCGCAGGAGGAATCGCAACGTTGATTCCAGGAATATTATGTTACTTTGTCACAATCTAACCATTATTTATTTACTCACGAATGTATCCCTTACAATAGTACCTTAATCGTATCAGCAACATCTGGTGAAACACTTAATAGTAACTGCAATATTCCGAATCACAAACATAAACATCTGTTTGAGATTCTAGATTCTCTAGGCGGCGAGTATGAATATGGCTGTTTAAGGGCTGTCGCGGCGTGTGGTCTATTATAAGTTTACCGGCGTTTCGGAGGTGCTTGCTGCCTCCATCATCCCGATGACGCAACATCCACGGAAGTCAGTCATCTTCATCGTGTTTCCTCGCTCCAGTTACCCACGTGCATTATATGTTCATTATATAACATCTTTGTGTTTTAACTTCGATCTAGTAATGTCAACATTTGAAACAAACCTTACAGTTTATCTTGTCAGTTATCATCATCGCCCCTGTTATATATTCCTGTATATTATATCTGGATATCAAAGTAATGCAGTCCTTACGCCTACATCCCGTTATCCGTAATGATGAAGACCCTGATCACACAGAGCAGAGACGCATTATCACAACTTCACACGATGTTTATTCGCAATCAATGTATGAATATAACTTCAAAGCACGAATCCCGTTAAGTTACACTATTTTATCCTGTTACGTACCTTTTCTTCGTTTCCCTGAGTTATAACGATTTCAATTCACCAGATCGCGCTATCACAATTTAACACTGACATTTCTAATATTCCCTTGTGTTGAAATAAGCAACGGATGTGGTCCATGGCTCTTGAAATCAGCTGTATAAATCTAAGAGATCCTATGCAACGTCACGATAAAACCAGCGATTCAAACACTACAACTAGAACACAAGGAGCTTCCTTCAGAACTAAAGTGCTGTGAAGTTAGTGCTCATCACTCTCGAAAATCGTGTTTCTGTCATATTTGAACATCATAAATCATAGATGATATTCGAGAGGTACGATACCTGAAAAGTAATTCCACAAGAAATTGTTGTTTACACAGAAAATCAGATTCAGAGCACCCTATTTTTGACTGCTGCAACCCCTATTAATCTGTGAGTGTTAGTTGTCAGCCTCTGCTGTCAAAGCAAACCAAAACGTCGCACGAACATAACCGTGCTCACTTCTATTAACCCTGTGAATCGACAACCATGGAACATAAAGCTAAGATGGCTGTTTTCTGAAATGTTGGGAAAAGCCTACCAGACTATATGAAGAAGAATAATCGCTGTGAGAACCTCAGAGTACGATATTTAAAGTTTTGCGAGACAAAGGTTTCCATTTTGCATTTCTCGACTTACTATATTGTCTTGTTGTCCCTACCTAATTATATATCTCCTTTATACGTTGATAATCACCCACCTGTTTAAAAAAATCGCTGCCTTTTATAGAACCCAATAAGTCAGCATGGAAAGGGGGAGGGGGGCACAGAGCTATGGGAAGCTAGCCCTGTTGGCAAAGCTCCGAAGTAAGGCAAACCAAAGGGGCAAATTCATCGGAAGAAAAGGCCCCAATGGGACAGAACCTGGGGTCAAAGCTCCCAAGAGGAAGAAACCCTCATAGTTTAGTCCCCTGAGTTTGCTCCACTTCTTTGGGAATCCTGGGGCTTGCATAGTTCCTAACCTGATAACAACAGACATACAGGCTGATACAGTGTTGTTTGATGATATTAGAGTATGAAGAACACCTGAAATTTGAAAGTTTTTCTTCATGAACGTACCCCTTGCAATGTCATAATTAAAAAAAAAACATCTTAGCCAGAAACAGACTTGCACATAGTCCTACTGCACCTGTAACATCTGAATAGCCACATCAGTGGAGACAATACATCCAAACCACCTGCCTCTCACTTATTCATGCCCTACTATGACATATGTGTAGCAGGATGCAGTGCATTTACAAGAACAATCAAAATCAATTTCATTTGAGTCAGATGTCAAACTGTTATTTGTTACTACTTATTACACTGTACCTTTCTTCAGTTACTCAAACTTTGTGTTACAATATTTTAACATTGCTTCTTCGCACTGAATGAGAAATTTGTATCCATACCACAAAATAAACAAACAATATTTTAACAAGTTTTCTCTCCCTTTTGGCATTAAACTTGGGTAAATCTGATACAGACCTGGATAAACTTGGCTCAGCAATAATGGGACAAATGTCATATGCAATGCTGTGATAACAGTAATAACAATCCTGATAACATGTAAAACTTGTTATAATTCACATATATACATTCATAAGTATCACACCAGCTCTCCACATGCCGATATTATTACTTTCTCTGTTGGAGTTCCAGATTTTGTTCCACATTTCTGAAATATAACAAACATATCAATATATTATGCTGCTAATGAAATAAGTTGTCTCCGTTTCCATGACAGAATATGTTCTCTAAATTAAAGCTGCATTAATTCGCCTGTTACAGCTGCAGAGAAAAATAATTTCAAAATCAAAGTAACCATTAAGAAATTCCAAGACATTAACAAATCTGTAATAATACTAACAAAGTTTTTTACTACACAATAGGCACTTAACTGACCTGTAAATATACTTTCTACACATGATTACCAGTTTCCCCTGACCTTCAGGGAATCAAACCCCAGTTATTCAGTCAATAGCTAGTTAGGGCGATGACGGAGGCAGTATGACCTCTGAAACGTTGGTTAACATCGACCAGACTACACAGCGCAACAACCCAGAAGACGGAAATCTTCATACTCACCGCTGTGAGAACCTCAAGTCTTACAATGAATACTTTGTTACAAATACTTGATGATGCAGCTGCAGAGTATGTCAACAAAACAGGTTGGGGTACAGGAATTTCATAGCTTTCAGTAAAAATCAAAACATGATTGCTCTTACCTCCATCTTCTTCAGTACATCCATACCACTTATAACATGTCCAAACACAACATGTTTACCATCCAACCTGCAACCATATGAAATCATTAACATATAGTTCAGTTATGAAAATTGAAGCCTTCATTACAAGGCCAATATATATATTGGCTTACATAACTATTGATGTTGTTTCCAAGGGCCTTTTAAACTGAATTCTGCAACAGTCTAGTTCAAAGCTGTCAAATTTCATATTTATAATGCACTTACCAGTGTCATTTTTGAATGGTCAGCACACCTGTTTGTATTCAAAATGTGAGGCAGGTTAACCTGACATTTTAATGTTTTTTCTCAGTAAAGTAAAGTTTGTCCCGCTACGTGCCATACAGGCGCTTGGGGTGAGTGGAGGTATAGCTCCTCTCTTCCTTGATCTCGGCACTAGATGGGAGTGAGTGGTCAGCATCACGCCCCGGCCGGCTTTACCCCCGGGAAAGGACCCTGGTACCCATTGTAGAGGAGGCTGGGTGGGCCCCAGAGCCAGTCTGGACACAGAGGCTAGAGGAAAAATCCTCTGGCCCCATCAGGGATCGAACCCCGGTCGTAGCTAGTCACTATACAGACCGAGCTATCCTGGCTCATGTTTTTTCTCAGTCCCTCCAGGTAAATACCATGATAGAAACTTGAATTAAAGACATGACCACTTTTTTCTGCACCCATCTGATTCATTGTTCAGTAATAATCCTATCATTTGACACAATATAATCTCACCCATTGACAGCATCACTAAATAAACCAGGAAATCCAGTAGACAACAATTCTTACGCTCCAACATTTGGATCCTTTATGCTTAATCCTTTATCCTTTCTATAACACCTTGTGCATTTCAAGCACATAATGTTAAGTATTTCAGAATTCCAAACTTGTCTGTCATTTTTATGCATTTTTGTAAATTAATTAATTCATAACAGTGAGGTTCAGTCTGTCTGTCCACCTGTATGATTCATATCCAAAATTACTGATAGATTTTAACAAAATTTGTTATGAGAATCTAGAAGGTAAATTTAATTTTCGTTCATACTTATCCAACTTAGCTCCTACTGTAAATGAAGCAAAGACTGAAACAAACTAAGTACTATCTAAACCTACTATGTTTTATCTAAACTTCAAATTTTCTGGTCAAAATATTGTATACATTTATCATGTCCCCCATGTGAGTTGCTTCCACCATCCATCTGACCCTTCTTGATTTGATTTTATCATATAATATCCAGAATAGTAGAGAGTGCAAATTATTAAGCTCTTTATTTGGCTGGTACAACACTTAGTAAATTCCTATCCTAGAATGCCACCATGTTATGGCTCAGAATTTAACAGGCAGAGTAAGCTCTCAATATTGATTAAGCAGAAATTTCTCACTAATCCTTTAAAGTGTCTCCAGTAAAAAGGTTAGCTGGTTAATGCTGTTAACGACATAATTGCTGTTTACTCTGAAAATCATATGAAATCCATAAATACACTCTGTGGGCAAAATGCAAAGTTACTGATTATTAAAACAGGCAGAACATATTATTTGTCATAACTGGATATTAAAGGGTTAAGACTTTGAAATGAAGAGACCTCTTCGTACGCCTAAGAATAGATAAAAGAATAATATTAAAATGCAACTTAGATAAATAGGATGTGAAGGTGTGGATTGAATAAAACTAACTCTGGACATGGTCTATTGTTAAGTTTCATGAATATGGAGACAAAACTTTGGACCCTATAAAGCTTGCCAAATTATACTACTTAATGAAGTCAGTTATGATACAAAATCATGAAAGTAAGTTAAAAAAAGTTTCTACCATTTTATGCAGAATCAGGCATAACTATTCCTTTGTAAACGAGACAAAATTATATTTACATCAGAGTGAAGACTGTTACAAATAAGGCATTCCACCTACACAATCACTTACCAATCTGTTCGTGCTGTACAGAGAAAGAACTGGGAGCCATTTGTGTTTGGACCAGAATTTGCCATTGATAGTGTGCCTGGATTTACATGTTTTAAAGTAAAATTCTCATCTTCAAATTTCTTCCCATATATTGATCTTCCTCCTGTTCCATTGTGGTTTGTAAAATCTCCACCCTGACACATCTGATTTCTTGTTAAGAACAATCAGTAAACAAGCCAACATAATATATCATTTTAAAAATATTCCAGTGTTCTATGAGTAAAATGAAGAATGTTTAAGTTATATGTTCATAAGTCAGAAGCCTTTATACATCTGCCTACCTGTTTAATTTTTCAATTACAGAAATGGATTTTGATTAAAATTTGTGGTGACCCTCACTACAACTCAGTAATTAAACCTATGTAACTGGATTGACACTTATTTCCAAGCAATACTTAATCATGGCTACATTTACAAGGAACAGAATTTGCTATGGTTGCATTCAGTTGTAAGAAACATACAGAGTGGCACAAAAAATGTTAATACATGAAAATGCCCCTAAAATAATTAATTTAAGAATAAAGCGTTACAAAGTTTACAGACCCTGACACAGAATTTCTTGAGAAATGTCTTCAGTTAGCCACAAGTTCAATATGACCACCATTTTGATAAATTATGTCTTGGAGATGTGAAAAACGTCTGTAATGACACGTGACACATCTTCAGAAATCTCCCTGCACAACTAAACAATCATGGCTGTCATGTCCATGAGATTACCTGTTTCTTTGGGAATAATGAATCTTTTGAAGAAAAAGTCACATGATTACTCCATGGACTGGGAGTGGTACTCACAGTTGTGATGCTCAGGATACCGATGAGAGATAACATTATGATTACAATCAGTGTGCAGAATATACAGCATTACTTTAACAGTTTGTGGCATGTCCTCTGCAGATATTTCCAAGTATTTCTACAGGCTGTCACATTATTTTAAGAATTTTCATTAAATGGTTTGGTTTTAATAAATGTTATAAATGTGTCAGCATTTTGTGTGCTACAATCTTTATGAATGTGGGTGTTCTAAATTATAATTAAACATTTTAGAATCCATTGAAATACAAGGCGACTAAATCACTGCTGATGTTAAAACATTTGGGTACCGAGTTTTACCTCATTCACTGCCAAAATCAGGGTTTTCCACTTATCAGAGAGGCTTCAATACTGCCAGGCCTGCAAACAGCCAATTTAGCATACCACTCCTTATAAATTAAATAATACCTGGAAAGATGGCATTATGTATGAATAATGTTGCTTCAAAGTTCATTTGCATGAATATACATTACTAAATGCCTGGTCCCCCCCCCCCTGTATTTTCCCTCTCTCTGCCACCTCAAATATATTTTGCACAATAACGTTTGGGCCTCTGTCAGTGTCAAAGTGATAAATGGTAGCAGACAGCTGTGTAGTTGTGTGATGTGCTATTTTTATGGATTCCGTGGAGCACTAGCAGAACATATACAGCAGAGAATTCAGATGATGCAAATAAATGGACAGCACATCATAGGTGAAGACAAAGTGGGTTTCTAATTTTTATAAGACAAAAACTCATGGTGTGGACTATATTGATTAGTATCTTGTCTTGCCACATTTGAAAGACTAAAAAAAGTTTGAAGAAGTTTATTTCTTATCATCTGCAGGATGCTTTCCTTCACTAAAAATGAAGAAACAAATTTTCATCCAAGCTGTTAATCCCTGAACTATACAGAGAATAGAACAGTTAGTTTATCATTAAAGACTCCTACAAATGATACCACAACCTAAAATTCTACCAGTGTGTAAAATGTTCTTTTCTTTCAAAAAAGAATATCAAGATGGAAACAAATATTTTTGTACTCTTGTTTAGAGTTGTTCTGCATCCTAAAGGCATGGTAACACATTGTCAAAGTCTGCTAAAATGAATGCAAATTTTTCATATTTTCTTTCCAAAAATTTGGAAAATGTTTTTTTCTTCTTCAGATTGTGCAAGTCTCCATCTGTGACCTTTAAGCCCTACAATTTAATTATGAACAGCTTTTAAATGCTTAACAGAGAGTGTGTCAAGGTTTAATTGTTAACAAAGAATTTGTTGTGCAGTAAAAATCAAGATATCTGCAAACAGTTTCAGATCTAAATTTTCATTTTCCATCTTATCACTTTACCATTCCTTTATTTGTACATACATGTCGCTCCCTATCACTCTTAGTACTGCCATATCCTGTTTACTACTGTAAATGCACTGTTGTCATGAAAGCTTCAAATCTTAATGACAATGTCAATGTTATTTTCAACATGCCAATCTTAATCTCAGATGTGAATAAGTAGTGTACACTTATAGCTGTAGCAGCCAGGTTACATAATGCTGCCTTAGTAGAATAATGAATTACACATGAAATTAGCACATGCCCAAAACAATTATTACACAACATCTCTGATGTGTTAAAATACTCTGCAGCCTCTTTTAAAATATAGTGGCCATGAGACAAGGTTTTTATATACTAATAATGATAATGTTGTACCTATGTACCTCTAAGAACCATTAATTTTTAATTATTTTGTATGAAATGAATGCTTAATAGACAAGTTCCATCTGTTCATCCATATGTTCCACTCAAAATTTGGCAATCATTGATGGTGCTTTTTCAATCAAATTTGATATTGGTGGTCAATAGTACAAATGTTCAGACAAGTTTGATTTTAGCCTGTATTGATCATAAATAACATCACCATAAAAGCACCATACATTCTTCCCAGAAGTAGTTTTCTTTCAGTTTATAATTTTCACAAACCATCCCACTTACACTTGGTGGGTAATACTGGAGCCCATTTTGTGGTTCTGAATTCAAATTTATCCACAGGCCCCCTATGGCAACCACCTTTATCCCATATCACCATCGCATTCAATGGGAACAGACAAAACATTAATGCTAAATGTGTGTTCCTAGCTCATAAGTGAATAGTCTTGTCAGGCAAGTAGAGATCAAAAAATCAAAAAGACTGCAATTGGAAACATTAAGAATATGAAGGCTTCCTCTTAAAGCACAGTACATATTTATAATTTATAGCTGTACTCTGTGTCCTCTATAACAGGGGTCCCCAATGTTTCTGAATGATGGGCAACTAGAAGTTTAAAATCTATGCTCAGGTAAACAAGACCTGAGAAATCTAGACATCTTACGATATGAAAATTGATCTTCCAGATATATGTTCAGAAGATGTAAAGGTGATTTAAGTGTTTCAGGATTTGATCCAACAGATTGTTGTTGCAATAAATGTGTTAAATCTTCAGGTTCCACACAAGGAATGTTTTGACCACCATAACAACCATAAGTAATTTTCAGCTGTCCACATAAGATCATATACCAAAATAAAGTTCATCATTTATAACTTTCTAAGGATACAAACTCTGGAATTATTCTGTGAAAGGTACTGCCCTGGTACCCATAACCTTTCTCATGGGTGCACAAACATCTGAAGTTCTCTGCGGTCTTTGGAACTATGTCAGGTCTCAGCATGATTATTATTCTTCCAACGTTGTTCTTCCCTATTTTGATATCAAAGTATACTTGCGGATTTTTCTTTGCTTTCTTAACTTCTGGTTCTTCCTCCTAAACATATGCAATATAATAATTACATCTGAAGGCTTGTAATGATGGTGTATTATTAAAATAACAAACTTCTTGCACATTATCAATCACCCTAATCTAATTAAAAACAATGTTTCAAAGTCTGGAATCTGTCTCAGTTGGGCCCAACTGAAAGAGCTACCTCCAGAGTGTAGCTCAAGAGATAGGGGTCAGCTCAGGAGACAGGGACCAGATTTATCAATTAGACCCAAATTAGTAGGTTTTATTTGAGGATGGAGTCAGATTATAATCTCCAAAATGACATTCTTTATTAGATTAGGATGATGGATAATGTCCAAGACATTTGTTAACACTGATTACACTTGGTCTCTCAAAGTGAAGAACAGTGATTAAAAGTGTCAGAACAAACTGTACAGGAGAATATATTGCCCTAAGATAGAGGAACTAACATGAGAACCGAGTATATTACATAATGAAAAGTTTCATAATTTGTACCCTTCACCTAATGATTTTAAGATAAACTAATGAGAATGAGATGGGTGGACCATATAACATACTCATTCAAGGAGATGAGATATTCAAACTTCTGATCAGAAAAACCACAGGCATAATATTAAAGTAGATCTCATAGAAATGGGATTTGAAGATGTAAATTTTAAAGACTAGATCAAGATAGAGTTTAATTTTGGAATTTTTTGATCAGCTGAGTAACAATCAACTTTTCAATGACCACCCTGAACCATGAGTTAGTAAGTTACATAGTAAACATAGTAATCTTGACAGAGTACATTTTAAGACTACCTAACAAACTCCAGACATCAGAGTCCTTCTTGAGGAGCTAATAGTTTCTCAGCTAGTCCACAAATTCCACATTTGAATTGAAGACAAAAACCTGTCATTTTCATTACCATGGCTAAACCTAATTCTTGTTACATTGTTTTAAAAAAATACATTAAGATAAATATTCCTGTGCCTGAGCACCAATTTATAAAAGTGAATGGCAATGTGGAGGTGAAGCTCCACATGCTCATAATCACAAAATCAGATTAAGGTGTCAATTTCATGATGATGTTAACACCAAAAATATTATGACCCGGTGCTTGCTGACTCCATCATTAGGGTAATGAGTATGATGAGCGCAAGGAATTTATTTCAGATATAGGAACCAGTAAGTCATGACAGATGATGATGGAGGCAGCAAGTACCCCTGAAATGTTGGTAAATTTCTATCATACTACACAGCGCTACAACCTTGAAAACAACCATCTTTGTACTCACCATCATGAGAACCTGAAATCACATACTGTTAGCACTGCTACTATCCTATGTCATTTTAAGCAATAAATGCAGATATGGACTGAGTAATTGATGTTATTTCAATATATGCCATCATTTCTACCCTCCCTCTCCTTGAGACAAATCAAAGACTACCTACAATGCATGCTTATGAAGTGACAAAGAAAAAAAATTATATAGAATCATACCTTTTCAGAATCTTCTGCTGCTCGTTTCGTCCCAGATTCACCATCCTTGTTCAGAGTCTTTCCAGCATGCTCCTGCAGCCAAGTATCATCTGACCATACTGCCTTAGAAGACCCTTCTTTGATTTTCTGAGGTTTGGCAAGATTTACTCGAATTGTTCTCCCAAAGAGTTCTGAATCATTCTAAAATTAAAAGGTGTAATTTGTATGTTACAATATTTTTCAGGTTAAAGTATCTATACAGTACCCTTCAGTCTTCTAAACTGAAAAATACATTGATAAAAATAAAGTAAGGATAATAGATTCAAATACAATCATTCTGCACACAGGATATAAAACTCTACAATCCTGAAAGGAACTTGATCGAGCATATGGAACAGAAAGTCATAATTTTCAGAATCTACAGCAAAAGATATAACAGATTGAACATAAAGCCTTCAGAAGGCCAATCCTAATAAGAATTCCAGAGTATAGTATGCATGCACCTAAGGAAACTTATGCTAATCTAACCTGGCCTAATATAACCTTCAAATCCAAACCTTATTAGGAAGAAAACATGGGAAATAAACACTCCCCAGAAGATGGACAAAACCATATTCTGCACTTTTACTGCAATTTTCAAGACTGGAAAATACATCTGGGAAATATAACTCAAAACCGACATTTCCTAGAGGCCAGGGGATCCTTCTAAGTTCAACATTCTTACCATATTATCTATTGCTGCAGCTGCATCTTCTGCCGATTCAAATTCTACAAAAGCAAAACCTCTATGTTTCTCTGTCTCATAATCAAGTGGTATCTGAATATCCATTATATCCCCAAAGGGTATGAATGCAGCATGGAGCACTTTCTCGTCTACTTCTTCTGCTAATCCTCCTGAAAATGTTGGATTACATTAAATAGAAAGCTACACACAGCAAGATTCGGTTTATCCTGCAACGGATAATATATTTAAAAAAAGTTCTAATACAGCAGACTTCAGATACTTAGAGTAACTCGCAGATACAACAAACTTACCAACATATACTGTCCTTTTCGGATTTGTCGACATGATTCCAAAATGCCGCGTTTAACCTATAAACATTCACGTACAACTTACTATGTTTGAACGAGACATGACACTGTTTCGGAAGGTTTGTGAACCTGATCAAGGGCAAAACGTAAATATACCTCTCATATTTTAAATGTTGCCATCTTGATATTGGTTATAATAATGGTCAAGAGATGGCTCCAATCTCCCGGCCGAGTGCTTCTTGATGGATTCTTAGTCATACCACGAAAAGCTATGACGAAGTTGAGCATCAAACGGGCCGTCAGATATGATTTATGGTAGTACCTATTTCATAATAGGAGATAAAACTGTCTTTCTTATTGAGGAATATTCCTGTTTATCACCTACCTGCATTTCTGTCAATGTCAATACCGTATGTAGACGAAATGACTGGAGAAACAACATAGTGAATTTCGACGTAGTCAGATATTCTGTATTCGTCACATGCTAGAAAAAAACTAGGAGTGCAACAAGATTGTACTTAGCTATTTATAGACTCAAAGAAACTTGTTAGGCTGTTTGAATGAAATCTACAGTAAGTCCATATAGGTAAATATGTGTCTGATGCATTTCATATTTATTATCGCACTTCCAACGCGGTGGAAGCACCTAAAAGCAAGATAAACATCGATAATGATAAAAATATTTACAAATCAAAGAACATAACTGAAGTTCTTTAGTAATTGGAGCCTATGATTAGGTTAGCACAAACTACAGATAATATAAAAGGCCTATTTATAAAACTGAGTGATACGTCATTTCCGCTAGTAAATATTCCAAACTGACGAAAATTTGCCAGATATAACATTCTCACAGGCCCCATTTTTGTAAATGTTAACATATAAAAGAGTAATGTCAACATTTACGTACAGTTTACATATTTTAGAAAATACAAAGGCGAAGAACCGGCACTTTCGGTATCTTTTATTTCCGGGTGAGATATATAGGTTATGTGATTTTAACAATCTATAAGCTTCGGTATCTTTTATTTTCGGGTCAGATAAAAGGGCATAGGATAAGATGAGGCTAAACGCAATATAATTATTTCACTACACTTTATTTTAATAACAATCCCGAGAAGAAGGGTCACTTTGCTAATATGTAAGTATAGAGCATATGAACATATATTCTACGCGTTTGGGTTCAGTAAAGTATTTTCGTGTAGGAGATATGAGGTCAATAAGTATATTTTTTATAATATTGCTTAACAAAGAACTTTATGTTTGAAACAGGTCACCTGGTAAATAAACGCCCTACATATTATTGCATACACAAAAAATAACCGCCAGTGCGCTGAACTATAGAAACATGAATAGGGCCTAATCTCTGGAAAAACAAAGATTTATTTGTCGAATATCAAATATCTCTGCTTATTTTGCTGATTTCATTGATATCTATGTAGTTTTTGGTGCAGATAAAGGTCAGAATATTCAGTCATTCATTGAGATCTATGTAGTTTTAGGTGCAGATAAAGGTCAGAATATTCAGTTACGCCAGTACAGTCAACACTAACACTATAACTGACCATACAAGCCAACCTGAAAGCAGATAAAACTGGTATTCAAAGGACATAACGTTACTATGAAAGGTATAATTTATGTTTACAGTGCACTGTGTACTTTTCAGCTGTCATAAACTAGTTGCGATGCGTTACATCCTGTGCCTGGTGGTGATCAGGCAATTTAAATTCTATATGTCTGTTTTTATTTGATGTGTAAATTCAGTAAAGGAAAACGTAAGACTCTGAGATGTTATATCACAGACATACCGTTCTCCTCACTAATCCGAAAGGTTTCTCCACGGTATTATGTATTTCATCAGAAGGTGCAACTCAGAGCTAATATGTGTTTTGCTGAAACGTACGTATGTTGAGCCAGATTACTTTGTAACCGAAAACGTTCAACCATTTGAAGACGAAAAAAAGAAGGAGAAGAAGAGAAATTAAGGGGAGTAGCGATAGACACTAAGTTTAATGGAAAACAAATTAAATTTACAGCTACTGAGATCCGTAGGCAGTGCCCACCGCTCGTCCTTATGTTAACACTAGGTTTAGTGAAGGTAAGGTTTTCAGAAGCGGAGATAGTAGAGAGATGAAAAGTGGACAAGTTAAGCAGAATATTAATGTATTTTTACACAATTTTTAATTTTGATATTAGCCTTAGAAGGGCGGCATTTGGTGGAGATTTGATGATGATGATGATGATGATGACATAGTGGAAGTAATTTAGAGTAGAATTTTTGATGTTAATATTAGCAGGTCTACATGAGATGCATGCAGTGCTACGTGGAATTTTGGTACCAACTCAGAATTTGCCCTAAGACCGAGAGAAATCATTTGAAGCAGAAGATTGTCTGTATAATATTTAATCCTTACAGCAAATAGAACACAATTTGTCACCATTGCAAAGATCAGTTTGTTTATACTGTTTGAAAATAATCGCTGTTTAAACTGAGAACCATAATAAATAAATAAATAAATAAATGTACCCAACGGTTAAAATACAAGGTTAATAATCATTAAATTAGGTGAGACGTAGTTACCACAGGGCTTCAAGGGGTCAATGCAATGAACATATCTGAATCTATAAAACTAAAAACATGAACATATGCTTTCTTTATTTCAAAGGTAAATGTAATTTTGTAGCTAAAATTTGTATTGGGTAAATGTTACAATTTTTTCACTATTAACATTTTCCTATTGAAAATGGCGCAATTCTGTGTCATAACAATGCTACTGCACCTTTAAAGATATTCTGGTGTCTGTGAGTAGCTTTGGTTAGGTTATATTTTTGTTGAAAAACTAGCAATATGTTCATGTGAACATTTTAGTTCGAGAAACCATCAGAATTACGAATGAATGATGTAGTTTTGATATAGTTTATATATTTTATTTAGTGTTCTGTCTGACGACAGGTCCATATGAACCGGATCCTTCCATCCTTTTCTCGGACTGGGACCTGTTCATATACGTTCTTGGCAGATGATCCAGAAGTGGTTTGCCATTGCCTTCATCTGTGTGTGAATGGAGTAATTGTTGGGATGCCACGGAGAAACCGGGGAAGCGTCAATCTGTTATTATGGACATAAATAGATCAATGAATTGCGTAATTAATTCCTACAAGCCTCCTCGCACAACTGATTGTGTTTGATGAAAGCCAGGTGTCATACCGGTTTCAACCTTGATGAATAAGAAATAGCGTATCTGAGCTGTTGTACAGCCGTGCTTGGGCGGCAACTTCTCTGACACACCTCTCCGGCGGACAGCATAAAGCAACTTTTGCAGGGGCATAACGGTAAACCAGAGACTGTTCTATATGTGTACGCAAAAATGATATGACTTTACTAGCAGCTTTGTTTGTACATACAAACAATATAGAACAAATTACTTACGGTGACAGCAGATGTATACTTCATTTTTTTCAGTTTTATGTAACTTAGTTACTAGAAAACCACATTACTCAATGTTACACGTAAAAACATAGCATATTTCAGAGTAGAGTCTTCACACGAAACTAATAGTTGCTCAACTGGGCAAGATATTCATTCTTTTGTAGAAACCGAAGTAATTTTGTATCGTGTCATTACACGGTGTTTGAGTATGCACAAAGAATGTGTATCAACAACTTTATCACAGACTGGTTATTATTAAAAGTTTTTAAAATCTTGACAGTTTCAAACATGTTTCAATAATAAACAGTTAGTAACAAACGATAGTGGTGCATATTCTTAAATTTTGTTTACAACTATTGGGCACTAGCCCCTATCACACTCCAAATGAATCCAATTCACATCCTCACGTCCTGATTCCTTAAGATCCACTTCAATTTCATCCTCACAATTACCCCCGCGTGTTCCATGTGTATTACACGCGACGCCTAAAGAATCCTCATTGACATGATACTCATTTCCTTATAATATTTTGTGAAGAGAAAAAGTTATAAATCTCATCATTGTATAATTTTCTCTAGACTCCTGTTACTTACTTATTCTTCGACCTAACACTGTCCACAGAACGTTGTCCTTAAACATCCTTAACCTCCGTTCTTCTCTTAATGTGAGAGACCAAATTTCACACTCATACAAACTAATAGGTATATTTTGTAGTTTTACAGTCTGTAAGTCACTTAGATTTATTTAAGTTTCTAAATTGTGGTAAGACTGCCATTCTTATGAATCTCAATAGCTTGTTTTATTGTAGCATTCTTGATATATAAAAGTTTTGTCTGCTGGTAAATAATTACAACATAGTTCTGTTTTGCAGCAACAATAACAACTTCATAAACCAAACAGCTGTACGCTTGATATGGAGGGATACCATGAATTACCCGTGTAATTGTGTGCTTTATATTTGTGAAAAAAATTTAAATTTTAACACAGTTCCGGGCATAACTCATAAAGTCTACTTAACTACATCACAGATTTTCAGTGCTATGAATCTTGCTTCTTAATAACCTGTTTTACTTAGGCTAGAATAAATTTATAATGAAACGTTGCATGTGCGGAATTCGTGTACAGATAGTCCCATGATCAAACCTTAGTCGAGCCAAATTTTGTTTGTTACTGGCAAATGTGAATATGTTAAATGATATTTTTGTTGCTATTATAATTATTTATTTTATTTATTTAGTGTTCTGTCTGACGACAGGTCCATATGAACAGGATCCTTCCATCCTTTTCTCGGACTGGGACCTGTTCATATCCGTTCCCATTGCCTTCTTCTGTGTGTGAATGGAGTAATTGTTGGGATGCCACGGAGAAACCGGGGAAGCCCGCGGAGGAAAACTCCGTGTTGCCTAGACCACGGCCTTGCCCAACACAAGTTATAAATTCGGGCACCGTGATATATTTGTAGTAATGTTGTTTTTAGTATAAATTTACATTAATATTAAACACCTCCCAAAAGAACAAAATAAAAATTAGAATCAACTGCACCACACTGAAGAAAAAGAAGAAGAATTGATAAGACTTCAGTTTTGTTTGTCGGATTTTCAAGTATGAGAATTGGTTTAAAGGCAATAGTAGTAATGGGGGTGGTAAAACGTATTAATACTCAAGTACAGATTTTGTCTACAAAAACTTTATCTCATTTGACCTCACGATTTTGCACCGTCACGTTAAAT